TAAGACCAGAACACAAGGAGGGCATCCCTGTCATTTCTTCTCTCCATCATCGTACTAGAAATGCTAACTAATGCAGGAAGACTCCAAAAGAGGCTCCATCTGTTGGGTGAGGCTGAGGGGTGGGCCCAAGGTCAGGCCTGACCTTGTGCCTCCAACTCTTTGGGTGGCCACCTGGGGTGGAGTTCGGTTAGCACACATCAAAGAAGGGTGGGCCTGGCAGGCAGTCGCCTGCAGCCACATGTGATTGCTATCTGTTCCTCACTCAGGACCAGTCCCTTACATTCACAACTGTCAATAACGGCCTCTTGGAGCTTGGGGGTCCGTCTTGCAGGTGGCTCCTAGGTTGTCAAACCGATGCCAGAGCTAGCACAAGGGTGCTGCTCCTTAGCAGATGGGTGCTAGACTATGCTGTCTTTACTCTCAGCGAGGATCCGTGGTCCCTCCAGAGAGGCACTGGTTGACATGAGGTGCCATATGGGAACTGGATAAAACTTCTTATGAAATTAAGAAGGGGACATGAGAGACCCATTATCCAATCGGCTTACAAAGTGTTTATGATGTTTTCCGGGGTTACTGTATAGAAACTTCAACATTCGTGATGATCATCCAGAAGTGAAAGACTCAGAGAGGGAGATCTGACAGACCAGGTGGAAAAGTGAGTGATAAAGCTTGCCACGTTCAAGCAACAGTAGACCGCTGGAGTGCCCTGCAACGGGCAGACATGGAGGCTTGAGTCCAGCTGGGTAACAAAAGGAATAATTATGACCTTATATCTTCAAGCAGCCCTCAGAAGCTCATGAGACTGTGGCCAAATGTATAATCCTGGCAGGCCACAGAGCAGCCAAGAATATCTTGGAGAGCACGCCTCCTCGGGTCTTGCCATATTAACATCCTCCTCCATATCCTGATCTCTTTTTACATTGTTTATTAGAGATTGTAATTTAATCACAAAGTTTCTCTCATACCTTTCCTCCATCCAGAAACCTTCTTGCTTTCCTTTAAATTCATGGTACTTTTTATTAATTGTTATTGTGTGCATATATGTATTTGTATATAATTATATACATATAATTATATATATATATAATTTGTTATAACCTAGCAGGTCCATATAATATTACTTATATGTATGTTTTCTGGACTGACCGCTTGGCACTGGACAACCAATTGGTGTGCTCTTTCCCAGGACGGTAGTTTATTTCTGAGTGCCAAGAATGTTCTGAAGTGAAAGGTTTCTTTATAAAAACACAGTCCCATTAAATAGTGACTTATTCTCTGGATAATAGAAGCTTGAAACAATCATTTTGTACACTGTTGGGAGCAGTGAGCCCCCAGATCCTGAATTTCTTGTGAACAACTTGTTTTCCCCTGATCTGAGTGCCTACAGCTGCTCTGAGCACGAGACCTGCAGGAGTTCCTGATGGTAGGAGAGTGGTTTCTGGTGGGTTTGGCTATTTCTATATAAGCTGCCCCTGAACACAATAAAGGGGGCATTCTGACTTCAAGGATGAGTCGTGTTTCTCTCTGTCTGTGTGTCATTGTGGGTTTCCATCTCCAGCCCCTTACCCAAGGCTCGGGAGCTGTATGGTGGCGCACAGAGTGCAGACAGGCGTGGTGCGCTGCAGTACACAGGTGGCTGGCACCCACAGCTACACAGTTGTGTCCAGTGTGCTCTCTCTTCTCTACTGGATTATGTGTAGAGGACAAGTTACCTCTTCAAGGAGATGTTCAGACAGTGTAGCATGATGACTATGAAGAGCAACCATTTCAAAAAGCAAGACACTGGGAGTTAGAATTTGTTTAACAACAGAGATCTCGGATGCTCTTCAGACGACAGCCTCCTAATCCTGTGAGGAACCACAACGAGCCCTTCCGATCGGGACTCTGAGTTATTCATTTAGGACAGAGGGCAATGCTGCTTTGCTTCCCTACACCCCGAGCAATGGGGCTTCTTCATCACAGATTATACTTGCACTATCACAAAATGACCCTTCTCTTTTTATAAACTGACGATTTCAGATATTTAGTTACAGTGATAGAAATCAGCAAGGCTGGTGGAAGACTGGTGAATCAACTAGACTACAGTGAAATTAGCAAACCCACAAACATATTCGGAGACCCTCAACAAAGAACCAAAGGAATCTTTTGAACCAATAGTGATGGATAACTATCCACCTGCAAAAAACTACACCCAGACACAGACCTGATACATTATATACAAAAAACTAACTCAAAATGGGTCATGAACATAAATACAAAATTCAGATCTGTGCTCTCTATGAAATTAACACAGGAGAAAATATAGGTACTATAATCATTAACAAAAAAAAATTCATGTTACGTTGTCTTAAAATAAAAGAATTTTGTTCTGGGAAAGACACTGTTAGAGAATGAAAGCCCCAGGCATGGGAGAAAGCACCTGGACCATGGCCCCGTTACAGTGTGCGGACGTGGGCTGGAGAGTTGAAAAGACGCTTCGGCAAGACTGGTGGCAAACAAGACAACAGACAGATGCTCAACATATTGATCACGATGGTTCTGCAAATGAAGTCTGCGCCGAGTCCTCAGCACAGCCCTGCTCAAAGGCTGAAGCCTGAAGCAGCTCAGACACTAAATGCTGGCAAAGATGAGCCATACAAGAGCGTGCAACCATAGCTGGTTGCACTAGGACACGCTACAGCCACTGTAAGACAGTTTGAGGGCGCACAGTCAGCTATGCTCTAAGCATAGGACCCAGCAACCAATGCCCTTGGTATTTATTTGTGTCTCCACAACTGTGTATAGCACCCAGCAAGTTCCAAGATGTTAGACATAACGAAATTACAAGGACAGTTCTGGGCTTTTCCTGTGGTATGATAATCTGGGAGCCTCTGTATGAACTGTTTATGAAGGAGTGTGTAAGAAATTATGACATAAAAAAGAGGTAACATGGGTGTGGAAGGGTACACCAAGGTTTTAAGACACTAAGTATTAAAACAATAAAATAAAAATAAAGCATCAAAAGAGCCAAAACAAAAGCATAAATATCCCTACCAGCACCAAACTGAATACTCACAGTTAGACTACTGTAGCTATTTCGTGCTAAGATGAATTTCATGATGAGAGCAGGGTATTTGCTCTTGGGGAAATCCAAATTTTTATATCTCATGATGTGTTTTATCAACCTTGGTACACCCCCGTTTGCTGTGTGTATGTATAGAATTGTAATGTCTTCTTGTCGGGTTGGTTTTGTAGTGTTTGGTTCTTTCTTAAGTTTTTCTCTGTTGTATAACGAATGTTTTGGCAGCTTTTAATTTTCCCCGGTAGGCTCTTGGGTGTCTTGAATCACTCTCCTTAGTCCAAAGGATCCCTTCTAGAATACTCTGTAGGGCTGGTTTGGAGTTTATAGCTTCCTTTAGTTCATGTTTTCGTGCAAAGTTTTTATTTCTTCCTCAGTCACGGCAGACACTATGGCTGGGTATATTAATCTGTGTTCACAGCTGTGATCTTTAGAACTTTAAAGTATATCATTCCAAACCCTTCTTGCTTTAAAGGTTTCCATTGAAAGTCTGCTTTAATGGGCCTGCCTTTACATGTGACTTGGTGTTTCTCACTTAGAGATATCAGTACACTGCAATTTCTTTTCTAGTCCAGCCTATTTGGTATTCTAGGACTCTAGGTATAGGCTTCTGACCTCATAAGGGACCAAGTCTGAGATGGATGGCTATAGGGTCCTGGCTTTGGGATGGGGCTCTAGGCATGATTCTCTGACCCTACATGGAGCTAGTCCAAAGTATAGCATGGTAAGGTGGGATCCTAGGTTTGGGCTGGAGTCTGAGTGTAGGACCTCTGACCTCACATCGGCCTGGGGCTGGTCTGAAATCTTTTTTTCACTTTTGAATGATGCAGGGCAATTATTTTCAAGTAGAAACATAGATATACTGTAAATGTATACGTAACTACTCATGTGTAAAAGCACATTTGCTACTTTTTATTTAAGTAGTTTTAGTTCACCAATATTATAGGTTATTTTATTCATTACTATAAACATCATTATACTCATGTATTTTAAATTATTACTTACTTTTCTTCATGAATCCAAAGTTCTTACTGAACTTTGAAGTTCAAAATTTAGCATGCAACATAACATCAGACACAATCACAAAAAGTACGGCAGAGTAAAAGCAACATAGCAGGTAGTAAAATAGGAAAATCAAAGGTAAAGGGAGTTATTACGGCTTAGAATATCTATAATTTGGGATTGAAGAGATGGTTCTCAGTGGTTAAGAGCACTAGTCGCTCTCCTAGAGGACATTTGTTCAGTTCCCAGGATCGACATGGTGGCTCAGAACTATCTGTAACTCCCGTGACATGGATCTGACACCCTCTTCTGACGTCCGTGGGCACCAGTCATGCACATGGAGTGTGCACACGTGCAAGCAAAACACTCATACACACAAAAAGCAAATCTAAAAAAAACTGAAAATGAATATTCATACTTTGATTGCCTATGCCCTTAAAAGCTTATTGAAAAATAAGTATCAGAATAAGCACAAAAGCACCTGCAGTACCATGTTCCCTATAAGAGAAACACTGGGATCATAAAACAGAAGAAAATTAAAGCAACGGAGACAGAAAGTCATTGAGAAACTAGTCAGAAGAAGGTGTGCTGCACCACGTAACAGCAGATAAGGCAGTTATTAAGGGCAATGAAGAAAATTATTGAGCCATGAGTGTCCCTTTAGAAGGATAATATGCTCTGACCTTTAAGACACGACTTTCAAGTCTGTATTTACATAAAGACTATACCTTTATCAGCTTAAAGCAGAACCCAACACTACAATAAGAAGTAGAAATCTAGAAAATGGGCTCTGAGCACAGGCAAATCAGCAGTTAATTACGAAAGACACCTCGATCATCAGAAGATTCAGAAGTGGGGTGCATGGACTAGTCCAAAGAAACATAGGGCTACAGACCTGTTCACAAACCCAACAGAAACAATGTAAAAGAGATGTACATACTCTCTGCACTTTCCTCCTGAGGAGAGGCATATTTCTTGTTCTGAGTCGGGTTTCTGGTTATAATAAGTTTCTTCTCAGGAAACAGATTGTCCGCTGATCCATCCTTTTTCTGGTATTCTACAGGAACGGCTAAGGAGAAAGAAAACATATGTGTCAGGGAGTTTCTGAGCACTCAAACTTCTCACCCATGGGGAGTGTGGAAAGCCACATCCACGACCCATGAGTATGTGGCAGCCTGTCTTAGCAGCTCCCAGCCTCCACTGATCACTGTTTGTTTTCTTTCTCTCCCACGGAATCCAGGACAAGGGGGCGCAGGCCTCCTGTTGGGTTTGGCGACAAGCTCTTTATGCTTGGGCTACTCACGGCCGAATCGCGCATCCTCAGAAGTTGTTCCTCTCTCTGCTTGGGCCTGGGATTCTAATGAGGACTCTAGATGCAAATGAGTAGAGACATCATCTGGCACTGCAAAATGAACTACATAAAGAGATACATTCAGTCTCTTCAACATAAAGGAAAAATCTATGGAACATCAGGGTTCAAATTTCTAACGAGATGACAAGTATATAATAGCAATTGCTCTGATTTTCATAAAGTCCCAAATTGCTATGTTATATCTGGCATGAGTATGAGGAGAGTTTTATCAACCGATTATGGAGTTTGCCAAACTACTTCATAAATGTTCTGTGGCACCAACCGTGTCATAGTCTGTCTCCTAGCTTCACTGAGTACTCATGCCTTACGTTAAGATTTATTCCTAGACAGGCCAAAGGGAACCAATGTCCACAAGGCTACTCACCACCACAGCATTATTTGCCACTGTGAAATGTCCAAAGTCACATAAATCAAGCATGGGAGAGGGGCTAAATAAACCAACACACGTACCAGTAACTGGTGTGGTATAGAAACTGCAGGATACGAGGGGGTACAAAATACTGAGCACATTTGTGCAAGAACAGCACAGAAGCATTTATATAATGCACTTGGGAAGATTTGTTAAAAGAATGTTAAGTAAAAACAAAAACAAACAAAAAACAGCAACAACAAAAACCAAAACCAAAATTCTGACTCAGAGTTTATGGGAGTGGCCAGCTAATACTCATTTAACATATGGCCCAAACCATGAGGAAGCCCATCCCCAATACTACCTGGTTAGCCAGGAACCAGAAACTGGATGGCCCAGAGGTCTAGAGTAGAGCCAAGCATGACTGACACACACACCAAAAAAATAATAATAATAATAATAAAAAATAAAAAGAGAAAAAGAAAAAAGAAAAAAGTCAATGAAGTGATTTCTAATGATATTTTGCTACACTCATAGGTAGGTGCCAGCCCCATAGTTGACAGAGGGGCTTTCTCCAGCAGCTGATGGAAGCCGATGCAGAAATACACAGCCAATTATTAGGCACAGCTTGGGGAACCCTGTGGAAGATGAGGAGAAAGGACTGCAGGAGCCAGAGGAGTAGAGGATACCTTGAGAACAAGGCCCACAGAATCAACTAAGCAGGCCTCATAGGGCAATCATGGAGCCTGCATGTTTTGCTAGGTCCTGTGCACATGTATGTTATGGTTGTTCAGCTCCTGACAGTGGGAGTGGGAGGCTGTCTCTGACTCTTCGCTTGCTCTTGGGACCCTTTTCCTCCTACTGCGCTGCCTTTTCCAGCCTCCATATGAGGGTCTGTGCCTGTTCTTACTGCTTCTTGTTGTGCCTTGTTTGGCTGATAGTCCTGGGAGGCCTGCTTTTTCCTGTGGGGAGGTGGAAGAACAGTGAATCTGGGTGTGAGGGGAGGTGGTTGGGGGGGGACTAGGAAGAGTGGAGGGAGGGGAGACTGTGGTTAGGATGTATTGAATGGGAGAAGAATAAATAAAAGGGGAGAGACCTAAAATATGGTGTCTAGTGTGCTAACCTTTGGACTGAAAGACAAGCAGAGAATGCTGTAGTTGGGGAGTGTGCAGACTGTGGAAGGAAGAACAGTCCTCTTGGGGCACCTGGGTAATTGTACACACTTCTTTCAAAAAATAAAATTAAATCAAGGAGGAGTGAGGAACAAACTGCAAACAAGCTACAGAGGTGAAGCAGAACCCCCACGAGTCACTAGGGAGTGAGTGTAGCCTGGACACCCGGGGACAGGCTGGGGTCTTGGTTCCTCCTCCTGTTGGTGTGATGAGATCTCTGGAAAAGGTTCCTTAAGGGATAAAATTTTATTCTGGCGCACACTTTAAGGGTACAGTCCATTCACAGTGGGCCATGCTGCGCCCACATTTGGGAAGCAGAGTGACGAATGCCTGGCAGCTTCCACTTGTTCTCTCTCCATCCTATCCCACCTGGGATCTCCTGCCAGGGAACGACCCCACAGAATATACACACGATTACTTGTCAAGGAAAAATATCTGAAAAGAAAAACCATTCTCTATTCTGATTTGACGGACTGCATTTGGGGCATCTTCCACTATGAGGGACTTAATCCGCTATAGTCATTCTGTAAGGAAAAATGAAACCCTGGTGGAGTTTGGTCCTTTTTTTTTAAACTTTTACTTTCACTTATTCCACAGCAGGGTGTGAGTAAACGCTCAATGGTTACTTCTAGTTAGGCTTACTATTTTAACTGGCCAACTTAAAACCTAACAATTTTCTATAACAACATAGGCAACAAGCAGGTTAGCAAATGAAGCCCTTCTAGGGCAACGTAACTCTCAGAGTTCCCACTGAACACGTTGAGGGGATGCTGGAATGTCAGGGAGCATGCTCACACCCTAACTGTCACAGTAAGACACCAGGGGCTTAATGGGGCACCCCTTTCCCATGTCAGTGGCACGGAGAGATTCTCAGTTACCTCCCCTTCGCCATTCAGTCTCTTAGCTTCTGTGCTAGGACACTTTAGAGAAACCATAGAGTGATTGGCTGATCCATTCACTGCACAAAGAGGGGCAGAAAACAACTGAATGCAAGATTGTTGACCAGACTCAAAAATTCTTTGGGGGGGGGGGGGTTAGTTGCTTTATATTGGCTATCAAACTCAACCAAATTTACTCAAATCTTTAGTTGATCACTTTGGGGGTATGGAAAAGTGGCTGCTCAGGCAGCAAACATGGCCCAGCGGAGAGATAGAAGCATACACTTGATCCTCTGCTGGACACTGCAGGCCCTTCACTACTGAGTGTTTTACGTGTGAATGGCCTTAGGAAAGAGATCTTGGTGCTACTAAACAACCTTGTGTCAATCTACTAGATGGATGGCCTCTCCATTAAACATGAAGGCCAGACAGTGAGCCGTGGTGTGTATGTGTGTGTGTGTGTGTTGTGTGTGTTTGCCAGAAAGTGCCAATATCCATATTTGATAGGCTTCAGAGAAGTGTAATTTGTTCCAGTCTTCCCAGTAGGTCCAGAGATTTGTGTGTTTTGCCTCCTTGATGAAGAAAGGAGTTATTAATACAAGGGGTTCCTTAGTACAGATTTCAACTTTTATCCAGACTTTTCACATTCCATAACTTAGTATGATCGGGGCCTTAGAAATAAACTAAGAGCTGTGATCACACAATTCCCACCATGAGAATGAGAGGCAATCAGGCAATTCTTTCTAGTTTTGTTCTGAGGCAATCAAAAGTGAGCCTTTATATTCTCTGCTATTGGTAAATCTCCTTCAGGCCACTAGAAACCCCCATTGTCACAACCTTTACGAGTGCACGCACACTCTGGAAGAACTACCCACAGGAATGGGTCTCCCACATCCTGTACCCAGGCTACTGACACATCAAAAACATCTTCACTATTCAAAGAAGAAGGCGGGCATGATTATCCATCATTGCCGAAAAAAATTAAAGCCACAAGCTGTTTTTCTACTGAGCAGCTATGTTCAGCACAAGTGCAAGATGTTGGGTACCCAGACAGATTGATGAGGGCCCATAAAGCCTGGCTGCCACTATCAGTACTGGGGTTACCTGCCATGGTGACAGCGATAAGCATAGGATGCAGCTTAGCATTCATCAATTGGCAACCCAATCTCTTTTGTGGATTTTCAGATACTGATGGTCAGGGTTGGTTAGCTTTGTAAAGGGGGCATCCAACACATTGCTTGAATCTTTCCATGGTGGACCCTGATGTTCTAACTACTGCACAGATCATAATCTGGAAAAATCCATGTCTGGGGAGGCACTGGCTTCCTACTACTGTACTAACAGAATCATCTAAATAGGCTCAGATAAGGGCACAGAGCCAAAAGAGCCACATGTTGTCTTCCACACGTGTCACGTGACTGGGGCCATTGTTTTCTGCAAGGCACAAAAAAATTCCTGGTGTGTGAAACTCCTGAGCAGGACCTGAAAGCATCCTGGCCTCTCACTTTAGAAAAGATGACTGCGTGTAATTGGTCCTCCCACCTCTCAAGCCAAAATAACAGGAAAAACTAATGGGTCTGCACAGCTATTTCTGCATCCACGGTCTAGCCAGAGAGCTCACATGGCACTCATCTCACTGCTTCCCATGAAGACCCCACAACTCTGAGGAGGCCACAAACAACATCTGACCATCCTGGTGGGCCCCTTCCTGGACCCCTGTGACTTGCATTTGCCCTTTCAGGGTCATACAAGGATGAACCGTCCGTTCGTCTGCTGACTGGAGCCTGGGCAAGCAGGAGGTGCTGGGGTCGGCTGAAAACACTAACTGTTCACTAAAGAGTGATTTGCCCATCACTATTCTTGGAACTCACGAACCATAGTCTTGTTATAAGAAATAACGGTCAAAACACTGATGATGCTTTTGATTTTGAGTGAGGCTGGCAGTGCTCAAATATCGTGTTTAGAGTGTAGACTTTTCTATAAGATATGCAATCACATATACATTTGTGAATCAAACAGAAGTTCTAATGCGTTAAATTTAAAATAATCTAAGATAGTTGCAGTCATTGTACTTACTAGTAAATATTTCCCCTCCCAGTGATTTTTGCTTCTGTAACTGGACTTGGGAGCTTGACTGTGTTTTCTGATCTTCCAGTCTGATGTTCTTATCTGATACTTCACTGTGAACTATATTAAGAGAGAAATTTCACCACTTACTAGAAAAAAAACAGATTTGCAAAGCATCCAGATTTCAAATTGATCCAGGCATAGTCATATTTTGTCATCTTGTAAACATTGAATGACCAGGATGCTAAGACATGCTGAAGACTGCTAAGTCCCTGTAATGTACATTAAGGTTCCATTGCTCTGTATGTCTGGGTATTTAATGCCTTATATTAGCCTCTGACTCCCTCGGGTTCTTTGTACTTTATACTAAGATCTAGTCGTAGACCTACTGATGAAAACACACATTTCCCAGGCATTATTTACCACTGATAAGTATTTAAGGCCATCAGTGTTTTCCAGCACAGGATGTTGGTTGAAGGACTCATATGCTCAGTAGGCACTGAATGAAAAGGATGTGTGCCTGTAAATACGCATGAGATAAACATGGTGTGGATGACTGCTTGCTTCTGAGCCATTCCCCCTCTGTGGTCAAAGAAGTCCCCTAGAGTCTTCCTAGTGGATACGGCCCTGACTAATACAAGTGCAGTTTCTTCCCCTCCTGGTGAATTCTGAAACAAATCCATCAACCCTGACAAATTTTACCCAAACTCTTGACTCCAGCCTAATAAACAACAAATAAAAATAAGACTATAAGATGGCCAGTGTTCTTCTGGCCTGCTTGGGAAAACGGTGAACCTGGCTCAGAGCTAAAGTTTGGGGGAGGAGGGCAAAGGGACGCCTTTCGCTCGTGGTGATATACAGGTGATGCCCAGTCCCTGAGCCACTGGCATGCTGAGTCCCTGGCATGCTGAGCACTGACATGCTGAGCCCCTGGCATGCTGAGCCACCAACATGCTGAGACCCTGACATGCTGAACCACTGGCATGCTGAGCCACTACATGTAAATGCTGGAGAAGCATGACAGCATCTGGGTTCTGCTGAGAGGGTCTCTGCAAGCCCTACACTCTCCATTGCCATAGCAGCCAGTATTGAATGGGTCCTTGTCAGACACAAAGTGGCTGAAATGCCCTGACTGCCCTCATCCTGGCCCCCGAGAACTGTTGCCATTAGGATTATGTCATGAGCCTGCTGAGTACTTTTGCAGCTCAGAAATAGTATCGGCTGTCTCCAGGATAAGACATGGCTGCTCTCATTGCCTGCTTAAGGAAGATGTCTTTACCGGCTGGTCTTGGGAGTTTGGCAACAATTGCTCATTGGAAACTTGACCTTGCAGTGTGGTTGCTGGCCCTGGCATTGCCTGACACTGTGCTGCCAACAGTGGCTGCCACTCAAGCTGAGGGCAGTGGATATGAAGTGAATGACCTTGTAAGCACCCTCGTCAGCATTCCTGTCTATACAGACAACCAGGGTCAGTTTGTCTGATGTGGAAAGAATTACATCTTTCCAAAGGGGATGGCCCAGGAAAAGTAGCACTCTTGAGAAACAGCAAACTCCCATGGTCCTGACCACATCCTTCCCTGGGACTAGACAAAGGCAATGCTAGGGAGGACTAGAACCTCGTTATAACCCAGCTGGACCATTAATGCAGGCCAGAGATAGAGACCTAACACTCATGTGAAATTCTGTGGGAAACCTAGGAATAAATAGGTAATTCCACAGCAAGGAAGACAGCTACCAAGTGTTATGACCTTGCCATCTTAGCAAATGACAGCCACCAGGGTTATGGTTTCTGGAGCCCTTGCATGGCCTCCATTAGCTACTTGAGGGTTCACCCATCTGGCTGACAGACAGGAAGCCATGGAGGCCTTTTGACTTAGTTGTGGTTACTATTACTATGACAAAACAGCATGACCAAAAGCAAGTTGGGGAGGAAAGGGTTTATGTGGCTTACACTTTCACATTTTAGTCCATTACTGAATGAAGTCAGGACAGGAACTCAAACAGAGTATGATCAGGAGGCAGGAACCGAAACAGAGGCCCTGGAAGGATGCTGTTCACTGGCTTACTTTGCATGCTTTCTTATAAAACCCAGGATCACAGGGTGCCCAGGGACGGTACCACCCACAATAGACATGGCCCTCCCCATTAATCATTAGTTAAGACAATGCCTTACAGCCTGAACTTATAGACACATTTTCTCAGTTGAGGTTCCCCCATTTCAGACAACTCTAGCTAATGTTGACATAAAATCAGCCATCACATCCTCCACTAGGCAACTCAGGCAGCCCTTCTCCTGAGCCTCTGGTGGACTTTTCTGTCTCAGCAGACTCTTTGGTTGGCAGATGAAATCTGTGAAAAGGATCATGGAACAGCACCCACTGGGTTTTGGATCCACAATCTCCTATAATTGCAGAAAAGGAACACCTAGGAGCAACTGCTGAGAAATCATTGGGGCTTGGTGAACACTGAACCCATACGTCTGCTGGAGCGGGGCGAGCCTTAAGACCAGAAATGTCCAACAAATCCACAACACTTTGGTCTAATAATTTTTAATGACTCATATTTTAGGCCAAGATACAAAATTTCTATAAATTCTATGTTCGTGTGCATACTGATGAACAGAGAGAAGGATTTGATGAGATTAATGCTTTAAATTTGAAGTTAACTATAACTTTTACACTTACCACTTTCTGGTTTGAAAATTCTTAGCTTCTTTGCCTGGATCTCAAATATCAAGTCGGAGTCTTGATGTTCAAAACTTCTGTCTGGCACTTCGTGAGAGGCTGCATGAAGAAACGCATGTTACCTCTCGTTAGAACACAGATCCACTTTCGGGTCTCTACATTTCAAGGCTGTGATACCAGTGCAGCGCGATGTTCTCTCGTTACCACAGGATCCAATGCAACACGAAAATTGTGAAGCTGCTCTTAGTGGTTGTGTGTTGAAGCGCCACTCTACATGTCTAGGTGTCTACTCTCTGTTTGTCTCCAACTGCCTCGGGCGATGTGTCCTCTAGGCAAAAGTATATTTGTAGAAACAGGAAGATGCACATGTTCAATATCCAGAAAGAAAAAAAACCCCTGCCAAGGAGAAAAGTTGCATACTCTCTGTGTTTAGGAAGAGGAGTAACTAGAAAATGGAGAAAGAGCAATGGTTATTTGTTTACACTTGTGGTATTGGGGTTAAACCTGGAGCCTTGTTGTCCGTGAGGCAAGCCTGGACAATGAAGCTACAATTCCTAGCCTTCTTTTTGCTCTTTACTTTGAGACAGGGTCTGGGTTGCCTAGGGTGGCCTTGAAGTCTTCCTCTTGCTGCTTGCCTGCCTGGCTGAGATGGCTGTCTTTTTTAAAAACCAGCCCAGGACAGAGAGGAGAAGCGATGGTGGTGGTTACCTACAAAGAGAGAGGTCAGGACTAGGGAAGAAAGGAAACCCCTTTAAGTCTATTTTTCTATGGATTTTTACTTTGGGGGAAAATTTCAGGTTCTATATATTTGGGGGATAAAATTTTATCAATAAGTACATAAGGCATAATGAAAACAGAAAATGAAATTAAGGTATTAAAAGAAAACAAAAACAATGACTCGATATAATATTGGACACAAACCTGCACTGTGAAGTGGAGTTGGCAGTTATGAAATAAACCTGAAGGACTTTAGGATATATAAACATATTAGTTTTTTGAGACAGCGTTTCTCTGTAGCTTTGGAGCCTGTCCTGGATCTAGCTCTTGTATACCAGGCTGGCCTCGAACTCACAGAGATCCTTCTGCCTCTGCCTCCTGAGTGCTGGAATTAAAGGCGTGCACCACCACCTCCTGGCTAGGCTGTATTATTGTTCCAGAGGCATGTGCTCAGCAATTCCAAACTGTCTGGTTATGGGGGTGGGGCTTCTTGGGGTTCTATCTGTCTTGGCCTCAGAAACTACAAAACCAAAAGGGCCTTTGGTTTAGTCTGCTGGGGCTGAGACACCCACCATGCGCGCACGCCCATCTGCTGTTTTATGTGCTAATGTGTCTGTCCCTTGTCCAGAGCTATTTAGGGAGGGGGGGGGGTAAAGGAAATCTAAGCAGGTTTTTTTTTTTTTTTTAATGATGCAGTAAGTCATGGTTAACTGTTACCTTGAGCTAGGTTTGTTGTTTTAAAAGCCCAGCTGAAATACTGAACACAGAGTAGCCGTTCTGAGTCATAGTGTGTGATTCCCAAGCTCCTACCATGGATGCCCTCTTGCTCTGTCTCCTGGGAACACTAAGAAAGTCCCATGAATCAGGCTCTTACCCTTCTGAGGTCACCTGGCATGAACAGGAACCCAGGCAAGTCACCTGATGCTTCACCGTGCTTGCTACTTTGTGACTTTCACTCGTCATTGACCCAAACAGGTACAGATTTCCTAGAGGAAACAGCTCCTGGCCAGCTGTTCAAGCACTTGCTTGTGAACTCCTCCAAGAAAGAACTCGCTGGACATAAGTTCAGAAGTTCTACCTTTGCCTGCTGTCTGGTCTGCACTGGCTGATTTACCTACACCCCTCCATTCCTGGGTCTTGTGCCACAGTGTTCTGTGTGCTGTACCTATGACAACCACACCTCTAGATCAGAAGAAATAAATAGTTTGTGATATTTACAGTAGTAGATGTACAACATCGTTCCAGAAGAAACAGCGTTTGCACGCTGGTCATTGCAAGGTACTCTCAGAAGGTAGGGTGCTGCAGTTGCAAGACAGGGTCCCACCATCCCACTCAACTCTCGGTTGGCTACACCACAGGTCTTAAAATGTGCTGGCAGAGCGTGCTTGACGGCTATGAATCATGTTTCCAAGATTTTCAACTTTGACTGGAACCATAGTTGTTTTTAACTTCAGATTTGCTGACCAAGATGTCCAGGTACTAAACAAGAGCTCCAACCCAGGGACTCTGAAAGGGATGGCATGGGCCCAGGTTTTGTTTATAGTTTATGATTTTAAGGTGATGAGGGCATTGCACACAGGACTTCACCAGTGGTCGTCACTGGCTGTAAGCATGTCTGTGATATAGTGAGTTTCTAAGACTTTCACTTTTGTGAGAAAGTCCTTAGGATAATGTTGTCTAGCCATTCAAAGAACGTTGGGACCTGGATAATTGCCTCCACAATAAGGGAAGGAATTCTGCTTGCCTTAGTAGGGGAGCGGCACAGTATGGGCCTTTCACTACACACCTTTCTTCAGAGCCTTGGCAGCTACACTGTCCAAGGAGGGGAGGAGCATCTGAGACTTGTTACTTCCTTGTTGGGTATCATTTTGGTTTTACATGATGGCCTATGTACTGGGAAAAAATATAAGTCTATCCTTTGCAGAGATACTATACACTTTTCACAGGTCATGGCGTAAAGATCAATACTCAAAATCAGATTTCTAGTTTTATTCCTGCCACCTTCCCTGGTTATCTAGGTAAACTAACTTTGATTATTTTTATTGCATATGCACATTTGCATATGGAGGTCAGACAACAGCTTCGTGGCATTTCCATTTCCATGGGATTTGTGATCAAACTTAGATGGTCAGGCTTGTGTAGCAACTGCCTTTGTTCACTGAAGCATCTTGCCAGTGCTTATGTAGCTAAAACAAATGCCTCTGCAAGATGAAGCCAACTGACAGACAAGAATATAAAAGTCTTAACGACAGACTGGGAAAGCAGTTACCATTAAGACAGCATTGTTTGAGCGGAGGACAAAGGGGCCTAACAGTGGTATGGTGTGGGACAATGGTCTGTATTCTGCCAATTATATTTTAAATAAACGCTGATTGGCCAGTAGCCAGGCAGGAAATATAGGCGGGACAATCAGACAAAAAGTAGAGGCAGATCAATGAGAACAAGTAATTCTGGGAAGAAGGAAGTCCTAGTCTGCAGTCCTGACCCAGCCACAGAAGAAGCAAGATGTGACTGCCTTGCAGAATAAGGTACCAAGCCACATGGCTAGCATAGACAAGAATAATAGGCTAATAAAAGTTATAAGAGTTAATAAGAAGCCTGAGCTAATGGGCCAATCAGCTTATAACTAATGTAGACCTCTGTGTGATTTCTTTAGGATTTAACAACTGCGGGAACTGGGCAGAACAGAAAACTCAGTCAACAGTGATAAGTGGACACCATTCCTTAATGACCAAGTAAGGGTTCCTGCCACAAGAATCTCTGGCCCTAGTTCCTTGACAATCTTATCTGGAGATACTTTTATTTCAAGTCCTCACTTGCCTTCAGTCTCAGGCTCTCAAGCAGTGGTTCTCAACTTTCCTAATGTTGCAGCCCTTTAATACAGCTCCTCATGTTGTAGGGAGCACTGGCCCCACAACTGTGAAATCAGTTTTGTTGCTGCTTTATAACTGTAATTTTGCTACTGTTATGAATTACAGTGTAAAAATTCTTTAGAGAGAGCAATTTGCCATACGTCCCACAGGCTGAGAACCACTATTCTCAGGGAACCCGCCATAAAAGAGGTCCAGCTGTGGCTGGGATTCCTCAGGTATCTGCAGGCATCTCCTCCAAATGGGTGTGTTTCTTGAGCTCCTGCTGTGAGGTTACCAGAGAGGCTTTTTCAGTTCAGGGGCCGTGAACAAGAGGATGCTTGGATGTCCTAACGAGGCCTCCTACGTGACTCCTTAGGCTCTTTGGCTCCCCATTTGTGTTTCACTCGCTCATCTCAATAGTGTCTGTATCTGTGACTGGAGTCTATGGCAGGGGCCAATATTCTCCAGGTCAGAGACACCACAACCTCTAGGAACTGCGAGTGTGTGTGTGTGTGTGTGTGTGTGTGTGTGTGTGTTGCAGTGTAACCAGGGGGTGAGATGATGTTCTCATGTTCTGCTTCTGAGGCCACCAGGAAAGAACAACCCTGGTCAAATTCTGCTATGGGCATACCATTTGGGGCTAACATGAGACTCCAAAGACACACCAGAACTCTGAAGAGGACACTGCTTTGGGAACTTATGGGACTCAAGCAGTTGGGGCTCAGTGGTAGCATATTCTGTGGCCATTAAATAATATTAGAGCTAGAACTTCTATTTGGGAGGACGAGGGAGAGAAACTTAAGTTGGAGGCCACCCTGAGCTATGTAATTCTATTATTAATTTTTTCTTAAGGTTAAGAAGTTAACATTTTAGTGGAGGGGAAAGGTTTCAGTGAATGTGTGCTTATATTGATATTCATGAAGGAAACTGAAAGACCAACCAGAGAGACAAATGGAAAGAAGCTACCACCGTGTGTGTGTGTGTGTGTGTGTGTGTGTGTTGCATACTCACCAGGGAATCTTTCTCTTTTGTGCATTTTCTGTTTCTTTGTTTGCACGTCTGCTTTTGATAGCGAACCTTGAATCTCAGGGCTGAGCGTTCCTTCATCTCCTTCGGGAGGTGCATAAAACAGGTGCATTTAGTTCACTGCATGAAGACAAGCATGCCTGAAACTGTGTCTGATGGCATGTGCCTAGGATCTCAGTACTCAGGAGGTGGGGACTGGGGGATTCAAGGTCACCTTTGGTTACATAGCCAGTTGAAGACCAGCCTGGGATAGATGAGACTTTGTTTCCAAAAATACTTAAGGTTGAAATTCCTAAGTTCAAATTTCTGACAAGTTTGCTGCAACACTGTCTCTTGTATTCATTACTTCTTTTTTAAAATAAATAAAGAAAGAAAGAATGCAAGTCTCTGCAGTTCAGTCACCATTGATCTGCAGAGATACAGAGACCTTAATAGTTTCTTCTGCCATAGAGGAAGGAGTCTTGTTAACTAAGTGTATGAAAGTGGCTGCTTCTGCTAGAGGACTGTGATAGCCCATGGCAGGCCTAGGGGAGGGTACTACCTAACAAGGAATTCATGCTCTGCTGACTCTTATACACCGTTACTGGTCCATTAATACAGATAAGGTGTGTATGACCATATATTTTTTTAAATAAAATTCTTTGAAAAAGTTGGGAGGAAAATAGAGTCTCATTCTTGCTTAGCTAACTGCTAAACTTTGGTCTGCCTTGGTCCCAATAGGAACTAAATAAGTAGTGTTATTTGTGGGTCTCTTCTGCTGGTGAGCCTCTCATTCCCATCAGTGGGATGCCACCAGAAGCAATCGATGAGTCTCCCGAGCAGACCTCATCTTCTGAGTGAGTCTGACCTACAAATAGCCGTGGGGGCCATCTGAGAGGCCCCATGGCCGCTGGCCTCTATCCTCACCTGCCCCTCTAAACTACATCTAATGTACAATTCCAGCAACAGTTCTGCTCCACAGTGTAAACGTAGGGAATGAGCTCACTGCACAGGTTAGTGGAGTGAACTGGCTTTTACCAGCTTCCTGGAGTTGGAGAACGGGAACACACATTGCTAGGCAGCCTGTAATCATGCCTTTAAAATGACTACATCCACAACGACTGAAGAAAAACAATGTGTACCTTGGCTTTTGTTTGGCAGTTATTGCACAGGTAAAAGCAACATTCCCATAACACACACAGTAAAATGCAGATTCTTGAACCAAAGACAAGATTTTTGGATCTGATTAAGATAATTTTAGTATACAGGGGCACAATGATGCACATATGTAATTCCAGAGTCCTGGATGCTGAGGCAGGAGGACCAGTCTCAGCTGGCCCCATTCTACAAAAAAGAGTAAAGTAATCTGTAGTTTTGATACTCACGAGCAAGTCCTTTTCCTTTAGAAGCATCTGGTTTCTTTGCTGGAACTTTGGCTTTTGCTGATTCTTCATAGACTATCCTTTCTGATTCCTCCTCATGAGCTATATACAGAGAGATATAGTTAGTGCACCCACCAGAAAAATAGAATTATTTTAAAGCCTCTAGTTCATATATCAAATAAATTCCCAGTGTCATTTTGTGCTGTTTTCACAGGGTCATAAATAAATGAGCACAGCGGTAGATCTGACGAGACACTGGTGGAGAGTTCCAGGGACTGTCTCCTAAACTTTGTCATTTTATATTTTATGGGGACACTATAGTTAGTATTTACTCTTCTTACTTTTAGATATAATTTTTATGCTTATTGGTGTGTGTTGGTGCCTCCATTGCCAGAAGCATTGTATACTCTGGGTCTCAAGTTACAAGTACTTGTGAACCACTAGACAGGAGAGCTGGGAAATGGTTTCAGGTCCTGCAGAAGAGCTAGAAGCACTCTTAACTGCAGAATCATCTCTCCAGCTCCTCTATTTTCTTAAGTTGCTTGTATTTTACAGATCACATAGGTTTCAAAGGCAAAACAACAAAAATGCTTGTGTGGGTTTATTCATTATTTCATTGTCTGTAATTGAACAAAAATATAAATGTTCAATCATGAAAAACAAGTTTGAATAAGCATATTATATTCCATTGTAAGGCTAGTACACGTTATGTGCTATGGTCAATGTACATTATAATAACAAAAAAAACCAGCACTTAGAGCTGAAAACAGATTGAGAAGGGTCTCAATATTGGGAGAATATGCCTAGAGGAATGGGCTTGGACACTGTCTTTTAAACAGGAAGAAAGGTAAGCAATGAAGATAAGAGAAAAATCACACATAGTTATCTTTAACAAATGAAATATAAGAAGTGTCAGAAAGCAGTATACACAGTTAACTACAAAATGGAACAGGGAGGCCTTGGGAAGAAACTGTATTTCCCTAACTAAACTTTTCTTTCATGTCTTAGCTTAGAAATCATGGGTATGTTCCCCACATTTCAAAACTAAAATAAAATCACAAACATAAGGAGACACTTTTTTTAATGTCACCCTCATGAAAGTCACAAAACACTTTGTAAAGTCGGGTCATTGCACATGACCCAAACTGGCTATTAACTAGAAAATTATGAAATATTCAATAGAAACTAAAGCCAATAGGCAGTGATTGGTTAGTAATGAACACAATGTAACAAATGATAATTGTTGCGTATACTTGGACAATATGCTTATACTTGGACAATACATGCAAAGTCCTTCTGGACATAATGTTTGGGGGTACAGTGAAGTCTTAAGGCAGCATACTGATGGACTCTCTACCAGGGATCTCAAGGCCCAGAGGTAAGTCAAATGATGCCCCAAAGGTGGCACAGGGAGGGACTACATGGCTCCAGTCCCTACGCCAAATGGAAGCTTCATTACTCAGTTCTTGAGATGGCTTAAACTACGAGACTGGATAGATACGTAGAGATTGATTTCACAGAACCCTGTGGTCAGGCTGAAGATGGTCAGTGTGACCTGTTCATGAAATAGCTTGTCATACGCTACCCAATATTCCACGGGGCCATAGAAAATTCCAAGGATAACTGCCATCAAAGGTTAAGTCCCACCCTCAGAGGAAGCACTGGACCAGAGTTTCATTGATGATCTTATCTGAATGGCAAATCCTGCCCTAAGGATTCACATATGGCAACCAGGTGGACAATTATTGTCCACAAGGTGCCACTACCATGAAGCCTGGTGAGAGTCTGGACATGTTTTGGAAGGGGTGTGATGTCTCAACCTGGACATGGCCAACAAATGGCCTTCTTTGCTCCAACAATTACAAAAGGGACCCTGCTACCATGAGGTACCTCAGCACCCTGCACTCTCATTTCCCCAGGTGAAATCTTTAGGAACCACCCATCTCTGCGTCACCGTGAAGTTGTTCCCTTGGCCCAGGGCTACAGTCAAGAAAGAGCTGGGGGCTTTCCAACAGCTCACAAGCTGTCCTAATAGGGAACCCTGACACCTACTGTTTGAGTTAAGGATTGAGTTAAGGCACATCTCTGCCTGCTTATTTGAGGTTGTGGCAAGGGTTATTAGTACAAGGAAGAGACACTTTCCGTAGATTTTTGTAAAATATATAATCTATAGGATGGAGTTGAAAGGTAGAACACACACTTAAAAAGTCAATTACTGGCCTGTTTCAGGGCCTTAGTCCATAGAAGCTTTATCCATGAAATAAATATAGAATCAGAAATTACAGACAAAGGGTACAAACTCTTTGTCGTTGTTCTCCAGTTATCTTAAGGTATTTTAGGACCAAATAAAGATTCCATAAAATAGATCTCAAATTTTCATGAACAGAAAATAGGATAATGAGTTTCATTCAAGTTAACATAATATCACAGATAATTCTCACTTACTATATAAATATAATCTCCCAGTCTTAGAACTGCTCTGTTCCTTTGGCTTTATGTCTGTTATTGAGTCTTCTCTGCCAAACTTTTTATCTTGTTCTTCATATTCAGCTACATAAAAATACATTTAGTATAGTAAATAAGAAGACAGATACCTACATTTCAAATTCATAAAATGAGTGCAACAGCATTTTCCCAATTAATCAGATTACTATAATGTGAGGAAAAAGTTAAAGAGATCTAATGGATAGTATCAAATTTGTGCCCTTAATTTGTAAACATGTATTAAGCTTCTATCTTAGTTTCTAGTCATGCTCTTCTACTGTTTTTATGCTAATGCACATAAATAATAGGGCGGTGACAATGTATCTGTACACAATGCACACAATTCTTATAGCAATTACAATATAGTAGAAGCTCAATGATGGGGGATAGGTTAAAAAAAACTAGGGCGCATACAATATTGTAAACTAAACATCTCTGTAAAACAATGTATAGGAATTCCTTGAAGGTAACGTTAAGTGGGGAAAAAGAAGGAAAAGCATCGCTTATGTGATACCTCCATAATAAGAAAGAAGGATAGGGCATAGGGAAAAAGAAGAAGAAGCAAAGAGACTCATCTTTATAAAAGAAAATACAGTAAAGGTATCAAAATCAATGCAGCTTAAGAAGTGGTGGAGGAGACAAAAGTCTGGATGTTCTTTTAGGTAAATAAGACTTTCTACAGTTTCTTTTAGAAACAGGTTGATTTCCCACATGTTCCAGAAATTGAATAAAACCATCAAGTATAACATAAAAAGAAAAGATGAAATGGAACAAAGGAGAAAGTGGGTCTCCTGAGAGGGACGGTGGGAAATGGTCCAAATAGCCGGCCAATATATTGGGAAAAAGAGAGGGACAGACCACAAGCAAATCAAATCTCTGGATTCAAATAAGCAACATCAATTCTCAGAAAATGATGAACAAAGAAAACGATTGCTTCCTTTGGCAATACGTAGGAGATTTGGCTACAGAGAGTGCACCAGACCTCAAGACCATCAATAGGTTGGTTGTGCAGCTATATAATCTTTGCCAGATGTTTCCCGAATCTGCAAGTGATTCCATCAATTTTTTTTTTCTCCGAGATACCATACATGAGATGGAAGAAATGACTGAGACCAAAGGCCGGGCACTGTTTCCAGGGTGGGATGTGCTCGTTTATTTGAAAATCACTGAGCTTTTATTTCCAACCTCTGATTTCTGGCATCCAGTTGTGACCCCTGTCCTGATATGCATGAGCCAGATGCTTATTAAGTGTCTGGTCCTCTCTCTACAAGATGTGATTAAAGGCCTGTTTGTATGCTGCAATCCTAGAGTATGTGTTCCTGTCTCAGAGGGTTGTCTCTAAGCTTTTTAATTTTTTTTCTTGGGATTCTTTACATAGCAACTCCAAACATTAAGATCCAAGGTTCTGCTCTGGTGCACCCAGAGCACTCGGGAAGAACTCGGAATTGCTCGTGTCTCTGACAAAGCAGATATGGTCTCTGGGCAAGAAGATTGAGTACTATGACAGCAACTGAAGCCAATCATGGAAGACTATCCTGCCTGGCCTCCTTCTGACCCTGCTGAAGCACTGTGGGCTCATGTACAATGTATCGCTGGTCTCTCATACCATCATCAGGCCCCACTGAGCCCTCCTGACAGCATCCTATGGACTGTAGCCTTCCCCAAGACCTTGAGAAGCTGTCTCAAAGCAGACTGTCGGAAATGGAAAGGCAAAAGCAGCACTGTCGGCCACTGATATGCGAGCAGAGCAAGCCAGTCCCACTAAAGCTCGTCACCCCCTTGTTGCGGAAGGACCGCCCGCAACACCCCCTGGCTAGTCAAAGTGCTTGACTTTGGACAGAAACAAGACAGCACTAAGAAAGCACAGGAAAGGAAAAGACGAATCCGCAAACACAAGTGGGAATTTAAAGGTGCTGTCTGGGAGATCCGAAAGGAGAATCAGTTCCTGGCCAGGATTCAGCTCTCAGAAATCATGGAACGGGATGCAGAAAGGAAGCGCAAGGTATGGAAGGCTCTGAAGAGGAAAAAGTTTAAAAAATAAATTGTTTTGTAAATGTAAAAACAAAAAAAAAATCAACTCAGAATGCATCAAAAACTTGGACATGAGACTTGAAACAGAAAGTGCTGGAGAAAAACAGGCAACACCTTCTGGATATTGATAGAAGCAATAATTTTTCTCATTAAGACTCCAAGATCACAGTAAGAAAGCAAAGCTGACATGTGAGGGTCCTAGCAAACTCACTAACCTTATAGGAAAGACGACAACCACTGAGTGAACAGGCAGCCTACACAAACAGAGAAAACACTTGCCAGCTGTCAGCTAATAGCCAAGATATGTCAAAATGTAAAAGGCCCCAACAACATAAATTAAGGAATGCAATTAAAAATGGCCACCGTAGACATACTTCCAAAGAAATGCAAATAGTCAATACATGAACACACTCTGTAACACTAGCTATCAGGGAAATTCAAATCGATGAGACAATCCAGGCCAAGACAGAACGGTTACGATGAAACAGATATTGCTGATGATGTGAAGGAAAAGAACCCGTGCGTGCTGTTGCTGGGAAAGCTAAGCACAGAAAAACAAGTATCACAAGTGGTGCGTGTTATTTCGTGGGTGGAAACTAAGAAAGAAGTGACTTGAAAGTAGAAGAGGGGTTTCTGTGGGCTGGGGAGGAGTCAGCCCTCCCCCTGTGCTAGGGGACAAGGGTAGAAGAAAGTTTGATGGAGATCAATACATCAAAAACTATTATGTGATGATGATATAACACAAATAAAAATGAAGAAAATAAAGAGAAGGTATTAGACTATCTGACTTTACCATAGCAATAATATTAAAATTTTGTTCTTACAGTATTGTGTGTGTATTTTTGAATAAATCAAAAATAAATAAATCAAGATATGAAAATTATAACAGTGATATTACCGAGAGAATACAGGATCAATCTGCTACTGCACATAGACATGGAAAACTTTTTACTTCTATGGGTGTTCCCTCTTTGAAAAGTTTAAGACTGTGTGTACATGCACGTGTATGTATTTGTGTGTACATGCTGGAAATACTATATTTAAATACAACCTAGCTGTAAACTGCTTGCCTCAAAAGAAAGGATATAAAAATGACATGTCATGAACGAACTGACAACCAAATCAGGCTGGAAGTAGTCAACAGCAACTAGTAGAACAGTAACTAGGAATAAATTCTTTACAAACTAAAAAGCTAACAGAACCATCCATGTAGCTATGAGGTGAGGGACACAGTTCTCCTGAATTCAACTGAAACCAGCTTAACAGTATTTTAACAACTACTTACTGATCACGTTCTCATATCTGGTGGCTTCAAGATTCTCAATTTCAGATTGCGTTCTTGAAATTAAATTCAAGTGTTCAGGTGGTTTTGTGGTGATAAAAAGTGCTGAAAAGAGACAGAGTTATGATGAGACTTCCGAGCAGGCAACATCCCAGCCAGTTGTGCAAGGCAACATGAAGAGGATGCAGAGCTGATTTCACCAACTATGCAGCAAAAAGGGACAGTCGAGTTGGTGAAGTAAAGTGTGAGGAGCTTCCCTGTGTGTGGATAGCAAGCTGCAGAGTGGCCACTGCCCATACAAATGACAGCCAGAAGGTGCCAAAGCTTGCATCTTAGTTCTCCAGGTATCTTAGAGTATGCATATTTAGATGAGAAAGTTCTAAGTATGAATATGGGAAAAGGAATGGCAGGGATGTGAGTATGTGTGATAGCAATGGAAGGGAGAGAGGAGGGAGTAGTAGTTAGGATACTATCATCTATCTATCTATCTATCTATCTATCTATCTATCTATCTATCTATCTATCTATCTATCCATCCATCCATCCATCCATCCATCCATCCATCCATCTATCTATCTATCTATCTATCTATCTATCTATCTATCTATCTATCTATCTATCTATCTATCTATCCATCTGTTCATATATATGAAATTGCTGAAGAATAAACATTTTAAATTATCATAATTATGATAAAAATATATGTTCATATAAATAATCTTGAATGAATGAAAAATGCATGGCAGTTGTGTTTTGCTTATGATAATAATGTCATCAATATTCTATGTGGCCATGCTCACGTTTGCGTCTCCCTTGGCTGTAGAGTTGCCTCACTGTAGTTACTGGGGCTTCTGGTAGCAAATCTTCTGGTGCAATAATTTCATTTGGCATTTTAGAAGAAACTGCAAAAAACAATTGTTCAGTATACTAAACAGAAAATCCTATTATGAGCTAGCTAGAATTCAAATGTAAACGAAAGTTGTTGGAGGTTTCTATCCCACCCAATCCCGCAATAAACTCACAGAAACTATATTATTTAAACCACTGTTTGGCCAATCACTTAAGTGTATTGCTATTTAGCTCTTGAATCTTAAATTATCTTAAATTAACCAATTTTTATTATTTTATATTTTACCATGAGGCTTGTGGCCTACCAGCAAGATTCCAGTGCATATGTCTCCTGCAGCGGCTACATGGCTTCTCCCTGACTCTGCCCACTCTCTCTTTAAATCTCTTTCAGCTTGGCTTTACTTTGTTAAGCCATTGTGGAAAGCAACTTCTTTATTAACCAATGGCAATAAAACATACTCACAGCATACATCACCTCCCACATCAAAAGAAGATGGCAACAACCTTTTCTCTCACTTTTAGATGTAAATAACCTAGATGTTGGGCTTCCCAGAGTCTTTCAGTCTACATTTAGAGAAGTTGATATTAAGTGCAGTCAGGTAGCTATTGGTCTCTTAGCCACAAGATAAGGGATACTATTATACCTGTCCACCCAAGTCTCAGAAAGCATCTCAGAAGAGATACTATTATACCTGTCCACCCAAGGCACAGAAAGCATCTCAGAAGGGAGGAAGAAAGTCTTGTAAGGCTAGGAGACTAGAAGGCTGGCTGTGGAAAACTGACTTTTAAACATGACACCCCGGGGTGGTTGTCATGTTTATGACATATGAAATGTCAACAAAATTGAGCAGAAACAGCAGTCCCACAATGGCCACCCCAGCTGACATGCCAGAGTGGATGGAAGATATTTCCAAGGCTTCACCTCTAGAAAAAAAGCTGCAAGCCATTAATAGCTAAGAGAGAATCACGTTTGTGTGTGTGTGTGTGTGTTTGTATTGTTTGTGTGTAAATACATGTATGTGTTTGTGTGTGTATGTATTTGTGTATGTGCATGTACTTACATATTTAAAGAGGAAGTGGTCATGAATTTGGAGAAGGGGAAAACACAGGAGGAGTTGCAGAAGAGAGAAGGAGGAACGGAAATGGTGTAAATACAGTATTTATATACAAAAAAATCTCAAAACATTTTAATCAGACAGGATAAAATACCAGCAAATAAGTTTTTATTATTTGTTAATATAAGAAAATAAAATAACAAAAATTTATAAAACAAGGAATTAAATATGAGAAATAAAGAAAAAAAGGAATTTAAAATACTTTTAACAAAATTGCAGAGGAAAGTATTCCCAATCTAAAGAAAGAGATACCTATCAAGGAAAGGAGGTAGAAAGAACGGAAAATAGAGCCAGAAAGGAAATTCCCCACAGCACAGAACAATCAAAAGAGTAACTGCTCAGAACAAAGATATGATACTGAAAGCTTCAAGGGGGAAAAGACCAAGTCACACATAAAAGAAGGGACATTAGAATAACATTTGGGTTTTCAAAGGATACTCTGCAAGCCAGAAAAGCTGGAAAGATGTTCTATAAGCTCTGAAAGAACATAGATACCAGCTCAAACTACTATACCCAGAAAAATATCAGTCACATTGATGGAGAAAGAAAAACATTCATAATAAAAAATAAATTCCAACATTTTCTGTCCACTGGCCCAATTCTATAGAAGGCAGTGAAGGAAAATGTCACAGTCAAGAGCTACACTCAGAAGGAAACAAGGAATAAATAATCAAAAGAGGGGGAAGACCCACACCACCATAACAAAATTGGGCCAATATCCTTTATTAATATAGTGCAAAAATTCTCAACAAAATGTATGTCAGTTAAATTTAAAAACACATAAAAATGATGATCAACCATGAATAAATTGGCTTTATCCTTGAGAAGCAGGGATAGTTCAACATATATATGTCAATAAATGTGATCTACCAGAGAAACAAACTGAAAAAAAAATCTCATTAGTTGTAGAAAGGGTCTTTAACAAAATGCAACGTTTCTGGGCGGTGGTGGCCCATGCCTTTCACCCCAGCACTCAGGAGGCAGAGGCAGGTGGATCTCTGTGAGTTCAAGGCCAGCGTGGTCTACAAGAGCTAGTTCCAGGACAGGCACCAAAGCTACAGAAAAACCCTGTCTCGAAAAAAAAAATAAACAAAAGAAGAAGAAGAAGAAAAAGAAGAAGAAGAAGAAGAAGAAGAAGAAGAAGAAGAAGAAGAAGAAGAAGAAGAAGAAGAAATAAAAAATAAGAAAAACAATAAAAAAATCAAAACTCAACATCTCATGATAAAAAGTTTGGAGATAAGGAACATAGCTCAACATAATAAAGTCAATTTATAGTAAGCACACAGTCAACATCATCCTAAATGGAGAAAAGATCAAGAATCTGTATGGAATTATAAGAGATTCCGAAAATACAAAAAGAGAAAAAAGGAAACAGGTAAATTCCATCACTTATAATAATATAGATGGCATCATGCCAGCAAATTTTAACAAAAAGACCACACATATATATATATATTCTCTCTCTCTCTCTCTCTCTCTCTCTCTCTCTCTCTCTCTCTCACACACACACACACACACACACACACACACACACACAACCAAACATTATAGTAGAGACAGAACAGAGGTCACAGAGAACGTGTGTGTGGAAAATAAACAACGGTTAATTGCGTGTGGTTAAATACATCAGTTTTAATGACTATTAAAATGAAATGTTGAGTAAAAACACATCCAGTCTGATTCCATTCACTTCAGATTAAAGACAGGGAAGCTAAAAAAATATTTGTGCAATAAAATACGTAAAATAAAGTAAGAAACACATAGTAATAACAGTAAGCAGAGTCTCAAGAACACATTGAAGACTATCAGACATTGCTAAGAGCAACCAAAGAATACAAAAATAAAAATGTGTCTCATAAATAGTAATATTTAAAATTTATAAGAGATTAATATTTGTCATGTTGATTAACAGATTGATTGAAATAAATATCAAACTTTGTAGGCCGTTTTACAATAAATAAATAAATGTTGAATCTAAAAATATGTGTGGGATTATAAGAGAACATAGACAGACAAAAACAATATTAAATGAAGGATGAGGTTTGAGGATTCACAACTTCCATTTCAAAATCCACCCTCAACCACACAATGAACATAAGATGGGATTGGAAGAAATACAGACATGTGTACCAACAGAACAGAATCAAGCACACAGAAGATAAGATTCCTTTTTTAAAACCACAGTGTCAATACAATTCAGTGAGAAAGAACACATCCTTAATAAACTAATCAAGTTCTAGAAAATTAGGCAAACATGTTAATCTTTTCTCTATTTATTGATTGATTGATACAAATCTGTTTCTGCTACCCCCACCTTTCCCTCCTCCCCATCCCCATCTGCTCCTAAACTAAGCATGTTCCATCACCTCACTGAGACAGGACCAAGGCCTCTCTGGACGCCTTCCTAGGTTGAACAAGGTATCTACAAAGTCAGTTCATACATTAGGGTTGGAATATGACCCCACTGCCAGTGGCTCCACAGACTGTCACCTACATCCACCAACCCCACATCTGAAAAAGGGCTGATCTCCAAAATATACAAAGAATTCAAGAAACTAGACATTGAAGTACCAAATCATCCAATTAAAAAAATAGGGTATAGACCTGAATAGAGAATTCTCAACAGAAGAATCTCTAATGGCTGAAAGACACTTAAGGAAATGCTCAACCTTTTTAGCCACCAGAGAAAGGCAAATCAAAACAACTCTGAGATTCCACCTTCCACCGTTCAGAATGGCTAAGATCAAAAACACTGATGGCTGGAGAGGATGTGAAGCCAGGGAAACACTCCTCCATTGCTGGTGGGGGTGCAAACGTGTACAGTCACTTTAGAAACCATTATGGTGGTTTCTTAGCAAATTAGGAATCAGTCTACCTCAAGACTCAGCAATACCGCTTTGGGGCATATACCCAAAGAGGTTAATTTTCGTCAGCCCTTCAGCAAGACTAGTTTTGCCTCATGCCCTGTGGATCTCTGAGAACACAGTCCTTTCTTGGGTTTTGGAACACAGAAGAGTGCACCTGTGACTATCTTGTGCATTTTCACAACTGCAGCTTATTAGGGGTTAATGGAGGTCTGTGTAACAGCTAGAATGTTCACACTCGAAAGCTGGTGTCACTCGGAGCAGATATACACCAGCTGTCGAGTTAGTTGCTTTCCGCCCATTATTAAAAACTCCATTCCTCCTGATGTATGATCTCCAAAGACATCCTTTATCACCAGATCCGTGGTTAAGTATGGTTCTATTGAGCCTTACTTCTTTCAAAAGAGTTAAAACATTTTTTTTATTTGAAAACTTAGTTCTGGGACAAATTGATTTTCATATATTAAAGAAAGAGTTGGACCCCATACCTTATTATCTGCTCTTGCAGAGAAGCAGAGCTCAGCTCCCAGCGGTGACAACATGCAGCTCACAACTGCCTGCAACCCGAGCACCAGGAGATCTGCCACAGGAATACCCATACATGTACCCATGCATTACACACACACACACACACACACACACACACACACACACACACCAGGAGATCTGCCACTATCTTCCAGCAACCACAGAAATACCCATACATGTACCCATACATTCCATACACATGCAACACACACAAACACACATATACAAATGCGTGTGTTTATATTTGTAATATAAAAAGAAATAGAAAGGATAACACAATTAGATAAAAGACCAAGGGTTTGGATGACACTATTCCAAAAATCATACAATGACCAGCAAATGTTGGAAGGAAGCCTCACATACAGAAGAAAGGAAAGATACAATATGAGCTATAGCACAGAGAGGAGACCATCCTACCAGACATGGGGAGGGAAATGGGAGCTGTCACTTTGTAGCCATGAAGATATATAGGAAATAGATATGGAAATAGATATCCTGACAGTCATACAGCACTGTGAGTGTACTTAATGGCCCCAAATTTGAGTTAGTTCAATTCCACTCTTACTTAAAGTAACGACTTACACAGAGTCCTCACCACGAGCTCTCCCTGTCTGAGTACCCCACTGCCATGGGGCGGATGCAGAGGTACTTCCTCTGAGAAGCACAGCAGGGATGCTTCCCACCCTAAACCTCAACCATTACACTTTATTTGAAAAGGTCAGGCCAAGGCTACGCAATATAAGTGGGGTGTTAAAGATAGGAATACAGACCTGGTCAGTCGTCCTCATCAGCTTAGACCACAAAACCCAATACGGACAGACCCGCCATATACGGACTGCCCATGCATGCTTCAGCACTGCCAGGGCGAACATTTCCTTTTCATACATAAGGAATAGCTCTAGCTTTATTTTTATGTGTATTTATTTTATGTGTATGCCAAATTCTCAAAGAACCTAGCAAAATCCCAGTTTTTCAATACCAGAAATCGTCATCTCTTCTGATATGTCCAGATGGATTTCTGATACACCAAAAGCTTATGTTGCTAACTCTGCTCACGGTTCAGGCAAAGCTGTCACTTCCTTCCGCAGAAGTCTTAGTGGAAACGGAGTCTGAGTGATGGAGTGAGATTACATCCAATTGATCCTTACATAAGCTCCAGTGAACATACGCATCATCTGGTAATGTCTTACATTGATATTTAAAAGGTTCTTACTGCTGGGGAGACCCAAGCCTTCACACCTCAGGATATACAACAGAAACTCTTTTTACCTTCAACTTGTTCTGCTTCTGTGTGAGAAAGGATGTGTTCTGATGCTTCAGCCTTAACGACAAAAATTATAGTGGATAATTACAAACAAATAATGCACACCAAAGCTCTATTTAATTTTTCTTTTATCAGGAAGCTAGCATTTCACTCTAATCTGCATTCTCATTTAAGCAACATTTTATTTTTCATGACTTCCCGAATTTATTAAATAAAAGGTCGTAAACAATATGAAGATCTTAGCTACACCTGGGATCACCAAGACTACTGAAATAGGCAGACAGTCAAACCACCATTACAAAATTACATTTTAGCTAACAATCTATAGACAAAGTCTAACAGCTCACAGATTTTTCCCCATAGGCCAGCTTTAGTAGCATGCCATGATAGAATAAACTGTGGAGATATGTCACGTGTACATGGATTGTTTCATCCCATGATAGAATAACTGTGGAGATATGTCACATGTACATGGACTGTTTCATCCCATGATAGAATAACTGTGGAGATATGTCACATGTACACGGATTGTTTAGCCTTTCTTTTCCTCCACATTTTTGGCCCTAAAAAATGCCAAACTAAATACTTTTCTAAGTAAAGTGGCTCTTACAGTTTCCCAGGTTTTTAAGTGTATATAAAGTTACAGTGATTATGAATTCATAGTCAAAATTTTTATACTATAAAAATCATTGTTGATGAATCTCGAATAAAAACTGAAAATTTCCCTCATCCCATGAATTAAACGTTTTAATTCATCATTAAATCAAATTTTCTGCCAGTACCAGCTAGCATGTCTTATCCATCAACATTTTTCTTAGATTTCCCAAATATTATTTCCAACATACTAAATACAAGCCAGCTGTTATTAAAAAACAAACTTGTTATTTTCTGGAAATAAGAAAGTATTGATAAGGTTTAATCAGCAACTATTCAAAACACTAAATACACCATTTTCAGGTTATACTGTACCACACCTTCTCCATTTCTTCAGCGAGATTAGGAAAGGACACCAAGGACCACATCTCTGTTTCCTCCGGCTCGGTCGAGTCTAATTCTAGGTGGTCTTCAATAAAAGGCAATGCTGTAAATGACTTAAAGATCTCTGGTGGGAATGCTGGCACGCCTGGGACACCATCGTGACCCGCTAAAGGGCCTACAACAGGAGCGCCAGGCTGTGTCTTCTCCAAGCTTTAGAGGTACAAAATGTCTAGCGTTAGATGAGGTAGGAAACACTGGGTTTGCAACTGAAGAGACATTTGATTGACAAGGATATCAGGTAAGCAATTATAACGCAACAAGTGATCAAAGGTGATTCGGATGCAAAACTGACGGCCCACGAGTTGAAGATGGTAATGCATCTTGAGAGATGTGAAGTGGAGACACGAGACATGCATTTAAAATACTGCGGTAGTCATTCATTATGATAAGAGGGCATAGAGCAAGCACCACTGGCTAGGCAAATTGAACGCATGAGAGTCTGGAGGCTGCTGTTTAGTCATATTTACATGAAAAAAAAAACAGCCTCAGAATTTCATTTCAGAATGGAATAGTAACCTCTCCAGAGAAGTTTTGACAATAAAAGTTTTTGGTTTTGCTTTTTTAAAGAAACAAACAAACAAACAAATAAGCAAACAAAACAAGCCAACTCCAAGTTCAGAGTAAGTTTCCTTTGAGGTAAGGTTTGCAGTGTAAACTGAGGCACAGGCTTTGACAGTGTCCATGTCGCACAGGCACAGCATTTCTATAGCTCATTTAGTGCTGGAAGGACAAATCACTTCCTGGCTGACACCTGTGTTATTCCCCCATGTTGGGACATTGCAACATCTTCACACCGAGTTACCAAGTGATGCTTGCCATCATGGGCACACCATGGACAAAAGCTCCTACTACATGAGCCAACCAGGCAAAACAGAAAACTTCCCTACTTTTTTATTCTCAAGATCCTTCTTAGGAAAAAGAAAAAAATAAAAATAAAAAAATAATAAAAAAGATCCTTCTTAGGATAACTTGCTTAAATCTGTTTTCACACTTTCAAGACACACTCTAGCCATGACCCTCCTCTTTAGGGTAAAAACAAAATTCTCACAGGTGTTTTTGTATACACTGAATTTTAAATTATCAACTCAAATATAGAAGAGCAAATTTGATATTATCTATTGTGATACAAGATGTATAATACAATCTTATGTAAGAAAAATCTAAACTTCAAAGTGTATAATATATTACAACCTAAGGTATTCTAAAAATGAAATTTATAGAAAATATAAATATTGAAAATATAAAACTCAATATTTAGAGTTGTCCACGTGTGTGTGTGTGCACATATACACACATGTGGGTATGCGTGTGGAGGCCAGAGGATAACTGTGGTTGACATACTCATAACTGATTCCTACCTCATTTGAAACAGGGTCTTTGTGGGCCCAGAGCTCACCAATTAAGCAATTAAGCTAGGCTGGCTAGAAAGAGAGACAAAAGGCCAGTTTCTTTTGCCTCTCCAGTGCTAAGATTCCAGATGTATACCACCATGCCCTGATTCTGTCTATGTCGCTTCTGAGGACCAAATTCAGGTTTTCCCACTTGCAAGATAAGCACGTTACTAACTGAATATTTCCTTACTTCTAGTACAAACATTAATAGTTTAAAAATTACAAATGTCATTGGTCAAAATCTTCAGAGTAATGTGTTCTACAACAATTAATTATTCAACTAAAGAGAAGCTCAGAAGGTTTAGTAGTCTACATTATTATACGACTGCAAAAGCCATAGTTTAAAGATACTTGGATTAATTTTCCTGGAGAAAATATGGGTGGTGGATCACTAAAAAAAAGCCTGTGTGTGATAGTTCACACAGGAAGTGTTGACTGTGTACCTAGCTCCACCATTTTAATGATAGACATCATTAAAAATAGAACTTGAGCTATAAGAAAATTATATAAGACAAATCCAAACTATTCTAATAGTGGGAAAATTACTCTTTAGTGTAAATGATCAACAGGGTTTCTCTTCAGTGGTTTCTCTTCACCACTTTAAAGCTTGGCCAAGACACGGTCTTCTGTGAATGCCTACAATATTGGACTTGACTGCTTTTCCCATGCACCTTTCCCAGCTCAAGAGTTCTAGAAGTACCTATTTTTTTTTCTATGAACGTATAAATTACTATGTGACAAGCTCCTTCCCCTCCTATACTTTCTATTGTTCATCAGCGGCCCCTAGTAGAAACATATACCGTTGAGATCTATGAGAGCCTAGGGTACTCCATGTGTTTGGCTACTACTTTGTATAAAGTCCTCGATGAAGCTTATTATATAAAGATGTGGTATAGGACTCATTTGGTTATTACTGTTTTTGAACACAGAAGTTTTATGCCACTCTGAAGATGGGAAATGACCCATGTGAAGTCTTATACCAGACAAGTGAGTTGCTATGGCCTGCATCTCAGTGACTGTGTTGTAGATAGTTTCAAAAGCTCCACAAAGGACCAATTACTTGGTCAAAGTGGAACCAAAAATTACATAACCACAGATATACGGGACAGAATAACCTGGGAATAACAAAATGGCCATGGAGGTAGAAAGGTTTCTTGACAACATTGGAGCAGAAGATTTGATAGAGATGTATTCACAAATTAATTGTCAATTCCCAAGTTACAGGCTGTTATATAATGTAAAGACCCTTCACTAGGTTGAACTCCAGAGTGACCAGGGTTTGGGTGTGCAGGGAAATCACTATGTTAGGAATAAAGAGTTTTATTTGTCTTTTCCCCTTGCTTCAACCACACTGCAAAGTGAGTACAACATATTATTTACTTAAAACATAGACATCATTCTTGCATTAAGATAGCTCTGCTAAATAAACCACTCAATAAAATGGGGTGTCTGCATTATATATCTATGGAGCATTAACAGATGTGTTTGTCAGGCATGCATATTTCTGAGTCTGGGGAATGGTTGGAGAGTATGTCAAGGGAGACAACAAATGTTTCTATTCCAGATAGGGAGCAGACACCCAGAGCAGCTCTCTGTGACTCGTTAAGGATATGGGATCTAGTCTATGTAGCTCCCATGATACTGGATTTCCACCTTCACCTACCGCATCTGGTGAACCTGCTAACTGATATCTTCTCTTCTATTGGCCAATACTTAGAAACCAGTTTGTTCAAAGCCAGGTGATGGGGAGAATTATGATAATGAGACCCAAGCACAATGGCAAGACACAGCAGAGGCAGTTAGTTCTTCATCTCTGGGTGGCATGGCTGACTCTCTTACTTCCCCTTTCATGACTCGGAAGAGATGACTCCTCAGGAATTCTAGGTGGGATCATGTGTGTGCTGCTCCACCTTCATGCGAATTTTTATAACGAGGCCATTGCCCTGACCAGAAAGTTCTTCCATATATGTGGTTGACTGGGTATTCCCTATTATCTTCCAATTCCCCTATCATTTGGTAATGATATGTGAAGAGGGGTTCCGTTGTTGGAACATTTTCAGGGATGAACCCAACTGTGCCAGTTTATGTACACATCTCCATAGAATGGTGTCTTCCTTGAGGATATTTTTACCTCCACTGGTTCTTATATTACTAGATTTCTTCTAGAAAACCTCTCTTATGTCTAAGTCACTAGTTATAGACCAAGGCCAATGCAAAGGGCAACAGTTAATTGAATGAATTAGAAAGTCTCCTCTGGAGTCCATAATGGGAATATAAACTTTCACTTGCAGAATTGTAACCAAATAAAATCACTTTGGTTTATAGTTAGATCTAAATCATCCTTCCCCGTGACACATGTCTGGACCGTTGGTGCCCAGATGGTGGATGGTTTGGGATATGAGGTCTGACTGAAGGCAGGGGGTCACTGAAGCTGAGTTTACAGGCCCAGCCAACATGACAGTTCCTGCTGTGACACAGTGTGCTCTGGCGGGCTCTTCCTCCTCTAGGTTGCTTCTTGAGTTTGGTAATAGCGATGAGAATAGTAAGATAGGGATTTAAAAAAATTGTTTTCACTGTCTTTTCTGTTCTATTCTAAAGTCATTGTGTGCAATTGTGTTGTTTTGTTTTCCAGACCCTCTCCTGTTTGTATGTAGACATAAGAAAAGGGGTCTATCTGCCTTTGCTACATATGAATGTCATAACTAGAGAATGATTGGTATTTGGAAGTGTCAAAAATATGTGTTGAGCAAGTGATAAATGAATGAAATAAACTTAGCAGCTAATAATTTATGGAAGAAAACCAGCATAGATGAACACTTTTTCACTTTTGTCATCTTGTGATTTATAATAGGCCTCTGTAGTATTGGGGAGAAAAACTTTCCATGAAAATATTCTGAATAATGAAGGTTGGATGTATAACACTTAAAAATGAAACACCAAGAAATAGTTTACATTTTCATGCTTTGAAGGTTAAGTTTCAATGTGAAACACTTTATAAAATCTAACAATGCATATGTGTGAGGCAATAAATTATTAAAATCTATTGTCTGATTAAATATTTATCACTAGCTCATTGCCTAAGCCAAAATAAACTGCTAATCATGTCACATGCAGAAGAATGTTCTTTATTGTAAGCAATGCCATATGTCTGCGGAGGTGGGGTCTCTTTTCGCTCCCATCCACTCTCGGAAGGTCGGGGGGCTTCCAAAGTATTTCACAAATTCTATTTGGATCTAAGGAGCAACCCAAAATGAAGGCTGGTGAATCATACTGTGTGCCATGTGCTTAACAGTTTGAATTTTAAACATATTTAGCAATACTTAAAATACATCTGTTAATAGGCAATTCTATAAGGTATACCAAGCCAAAATTTCATAGTTCTCAGTATTGCCTTTAGCCTATACTCCAAACAATACAAATCTCTGGGTTTCTCCTTGAGCACCTTATGCAGAGTCTAAACAGGCTCATGTAGGTCTCACGATCTATCCATATGGGGACATCTTTTATCATATTGCCCTTTAAAGGCCAACCCCATTGCTTCTGAAATTAAATGCTGTATAATTCTCGACCTAGTCAAAGGTGGTGCATGGTCTTTAGTGTGCTACACCACATTCAGCTTCTTTTGCGTGGGTCACATCTAACCTGTTCTACTGCTCAGACAGTGAGGGCAACAGTTATTGTCTGTCACCCTTCTGCATCCCTTACACTCCAGCCGAGATTTTGCACAGCATTTGAGTTCCTACAACAACAATAAACTGAATGGAAATGAATAAAGTAATCTTCTGGGTGCAATGGGCTCTTCCCTGGTAATATGCTTCATATTACCTGCCAGTCCAGTGATCTCCCGTTTCATTCACTAGTCTCAATGGTGAGTCTCAAATCTGACTCACTGATAAATGTGAATGGGGTGTAATATCTCCTGAGGAATTATTTAAAGGTGTACAGCAGGTGATAAGATTTGCTTTTAAAACTTATTTATTTATTTATTTATTTATTTATTTATTTGAGGCAGGATCTCACTCTGTAGCACTGATGGCTTGGAAATCCTTCTATTGACCAGCCTACCCTTGACCTCACAAGGTCTTCTGGCTTCTCCTTTCTGAGAGCTGGGATTAAAGGCATGCACCATTAAGGCCAGCCTGAGACTGCTTTCTTAATGCCTCCATTGAGATTGCTATAAGATGTGGTTTTAAAGTCCATGGCTCTGTTTTCTGAGATGTGGTTTACCAACGTAGTTTACTGGGTTTGTCAACAGCAATATTAAAACAAGTTGAATCAATGCTCATCACTTCCTTCTCAGACAGTACAGAACTTCCAAAGCCTACTCGCCATCGCGTTATTTTAGAGAAGCCATAGGACTATGCCGTACTCCTGATTGCCCCAGCCTGAGTATGACAGCTTCCTGCTTGGCTTCTCTTTCCACACAGTTCTTGAGATGGTTAAGCTTCCACCGGGAGTCTAATTATTAGTACTTTTTCTTATGATCTCACTATGTTTAGGATGCTGACTACGCATTTTAAAATCTAAACAGACAAATTAGAAGTCCTTCCCATAATAAGGTAGCAAAAGGAAAGGGAAAGTAATGTCTAGTGTTTGCTGAAATAGAAAAAGGCACACACTTTGAAGATATATAAAAAAATACAAACATTAAAAATGGGGCCCAATGCCTGCTAATTGGCTTGGGCCTATGACCCAGGAAATCTAAAGATGGTAAGAAAGCATAGAAGCACACACTTCCAAGCATTCTCTTCTATTTTCTGCAAGGTGATCAAAGTAAAAACTTTATGTACAAGGCTTTGTATAATTAAGGAATAAATAAATAAACACTGGCAATTTATTTGTACTCAGTAAAAACCTAACTCCCCCAACAGAATGTGCTGTGTGGTAAGTACCCTTGCCTAAGGAACACTGTCCCCGACTGAGCAGGTTTGGTAGTAATCACAGCATGTTAACCAAAGAGACTCAAGGGGGAAAGTTGTATGGTTTCCTTGGGTGACTCGAGCAGGCACCAAAACGTGAATGGCTGGGACAACGAAAGACAGAGTTGGGTTGAATTGTTCATAGATCTAGGTCTATAACTAAATAGGTTATAGTTACTAAATAGGTTACTAGGTTGATAACTAAATTCAAAGTAAGAGTCAGTTCATTGTTCTAGAAATCCAATCATGCTTTAAACCAGGTCCTTAATATAAAGTTATCCTAAAATTTTGAGTTTTTGGTTGCTCCTAACCTCCATTTTTTGACATCTAAAATTTCAAACATCTTGTATGTGAAGTTAGTTGTCCAAAGTAATGGCACAGAGCAAGGGATGGTATAAAGACTTGGTTTGCTATTTTAATGCTTACATATATAAACTGATGAAATTGTGAAAAGACAGAACAAACAAGAAATGTTTTACCTTTCATCAACTCACCTTTTGCTTTTCTCAGGTGGCACCTGGAATAAACACAAAATTAAATTTATGTGTAAAAATATGTATAGGCAATATTTACAATGAATTGCTTAGAAAAAATACTTCAAATAATTTTCCTGTCCCTCCCTGTCATTGACACAGAACAAAGTAGCCTTGGCTAGCCTGGAGCTTACTACGCAACCCAGGCTGGCCTTGAATTCATAGAGATCTGCCTGCCTTGGCCTCCCGAATTATGAGATTAAAGGCACTCATCACAAGGCATCAAAACAGTTTTCTAATATGACGATCATAGAAGGCATATGCTACAAAGGCTGAGAAATTATATTTTGGTATTAGAAGAGATTATGGAAAAACTATCCCTGAAACTTACATTTCTTAATTAAGAGCCAATAGTGGTTTTTAAATAATAATATTAGTAGATGAAATTTTTTAAAAGTATCCTTTGCAATACTATTTTAAATGAATGTGCTGTTGTTTGTTGTAGTAATGCACTTACACGCTGGTCCTTTTAGAATGTCTGTATTTTAAGTGGCCATTGAGTATGCCTACTAGAATATTGATTGAGGTGTTCGATCAGAGTGTAACCTGTGGCCTAACAATTGTGATTTTATTAATAGAAGAATTCCTTTGGGCAGTAACGGGCATTTTTCTGTCACATAGATGTTCACACTGGGTTCCATGCTACACCTGAAGATCAACTAGTTTTGCTTCTTTCATATGGACATCTTTGCCCACCTGCAGCAAGACTTCTGGCAGTTCAACCAACGGATTCCCTTATCTTCTTAGACATTTTGCTAGTCTGCATCTCTAAGCTTCCTATAGCTTAAATGTGGCGAGCGGAAAGTCCCTCAGGCCAGCCCTGAGCAGCGAGGCTGAGGGTACCGGCTGCCACTTGCACAATGGTGAAGATTCTATGCGCCAGGACACATGCATGCCCACAGAGAGCTCTCCAACAGATGCTGCCCCTGCTCTGCCCTCGGTGATGAACTGGTATGGTAGAGCCATTTCATGTTTTGTGTCTGTCACAAGAATCAAGCAGCAGCTAATATATCACAAATGACTGTAGTGCAGCCATGCAGAGAATGGTGGCTGAGATAAAAAGCATCAGAAATGCATGCAGCAGCGCTCAGAAAATACATAAGCAGTTCGTGAACATTATGTCATTGTATACTAATTCTTTAAAGTGCTACCGTGTCCATTTAATTAAAGACTGACAGATGTGCTCAGCTCCTGACAGAAATAATAGCAGTTCTGTCCTCTTACTAATTTAAGCACTATTGCAAGCCAGCCACTCTTTTTCCCCACATATTTAAGATCACAGGACAGAAGACAGCACTCAGTAGCAGAGGTGCAATATTTTCCTTTTGTTATTGCTTGGCTTTATATTTTTATCTCCTGACACAGGAGATGACAAGGTATTTACATGAAATCCAGATCCCAGAACTGATGCCCAGTCTCCCACAGCAGACACAGAACTTACTCTGGACAGTAACCATGCCACAGCCAGCCAGGAGTGCTGGCATACCAAGAGAGGGACAATAACAGAAACAGGGGTAAACTCACTTACCATATACGCAAGGGACTTTTAAACCATGGGCTTAATAAAGGAGAATAATCCACGTGTCTTGGCAACTTATCATTTGTTTGCTTTAAACATACAGGTATTTATACATCACTCCTTTGCCTAAAATCTTTCCATGGTTCTTTCTGTCTTGAGTATCGAAAGCCAAACTGCTCAATTTAGTGCCCCATTCAGGATGGTCACAATCTCAATCTACTTTTAGCAAACAGCCTCTCAAATGCTGGCCACACGCTCATTCCAGCGAAGGACTTCTCTTGTGTATGGTCTCGCCATAACCAAAAGTTCCCTAGGAAACTAAGCCTTTCTGATGCAGGGGATGTAGTGAGGTGGAGACCTTGTCATTTCCAAGATCAAGCATGACTTGGTGTCTCATCTCTCCCTGACCTTGCTTCTGTGTGGCTGTTTCCCTAGCTTCAGGATGGCCTTCTGTGATGGCTTCCTGGCCCCATCACAGCCTTCCGGGGTGTGCAGACTGGGAGAGTTAATCCCATTTGGGAAAGACAATAGCTTTACAGCTTTATAATTAAAATTAAAAGTTATTTAAAAAAATTCACCTCTGAGGGCAAGCTTTAATTCCCATGCATTTCTCTAAGGTGTTGGTGCTATAGGATGTAATTATGTAAGAAAATAAAAACCTGTAGGGTGTATGATATCAGAATGGCATGCTACGTGCAGGGAAATTACTACCATAATGTCAAGGAGGGAGTGTTGAAAATCAATTTATTTCTTAAACGAAAACGCAAGGCTTTTAACTAGAAAGAATAAAACAAAAAGCATAAAATCTCATCACAGAAAGAAAACTCAGTCAATATTTTGAGGTATGAACTTCGAAATGATGTTTAAATATAGCTAGCGTTTAAAAATAGTGTACGTGATGCATTCTTGCCGTTATTTTTTTTTTTTTAAGGCAGGGCACTGATCCTTAAGACCACAGGCTACCCAGGCCTGAAGTGATAACAAGTACATCCTACTCTATGTGGGTCCTAAGGCCAGAGCAGTCAAAGCTGATACTGTGAGTGCCCCCACCCCTAAAGAGACCAAGATCTAGAAGGCCCAGCTAAGGCACACATTTGATCCACAAATCTGAGAGAATCATGTGTGCTGTCTGGGCCAGGAAGAACTTATTACACAGCCAAAGATAACTAATTGGAATGCTACTTTTCATTCTTCACCTTTTTGTTTTTTTTTTAAAAAGATTTATTTATTTATTTATTTATTTATTTATTTATTTATTTATTTATTATGTATACAGTATTCCTCCTGCATGTATGCCTGCTGGCCAGAAGAGGGCACACAGATCTCATTATGGATGGTTGTGAGCCACTATGTGGTTGCTGGGAATTAAACTGGGGTCCTCTGGAAGGACAGCCTCTGCTCTTAACCCCTCAGTCATCTTCCCTTCTTTTTGTAACAGAAAGATTTTAGAAAACAAGGGAGAAACAAGCAGAAGTGGCAAACTGGGAAAAGCCTAAACATATTAGAACACCAAGTATTTTCTTTCCACTGACTTCGAGAGAACTTGTTGGCTACCGTGGAAGATGCATGTCAGTGTGCACATGTGAGCATCGTCATGAGAGCACGCACGAAGACTTGCAGGCTGATCAAGGAAGAGGCTTAGTTCCCAGGAAAGGATTGGGTCCAACAGACCCAGAACAAAGTTCAAGAAAGCATTTCTGGGTCGGGGTTGTGTGTGGGGGGTGAGTTTCTGAATCCACAGTGCAACAGAAACAAAATAAAATAATCTTTAGAATTTTCCTCTATGATTTTGCATTTATATTGAATCTTATCCATTTTAAGCTTGTTATCTTTATTCTTTAAAACCCTATTTCTTCCTGTTCTCAAATAAATGCTTAAATCATCATCCAAAATTGTTAACTTATAGTTGGTATTTCAGATGGCAATGAATCCATGTATCTAAAGAGTAAAAGTAAGAAATCCAAATAAATAAAAGCAATTTATGCAAGTAAAGTACAAAAGGATATGAAAATAGATTTCTTGTGGACTACATACCGACTGCTTAGTTCAGTTTCTCCCTCACCTGGTCATAGTTCTGCTGTTGTCTACCCAGCTGGGCATTTTTCTCCATTGATTGGGAATATTTGGAATCCTCAAGCGTACCCTTCGATCTACTAACAACCCGTTCCACTTTGGTTTTACTCCTCTCGTCTTTAAGCGTCTCCATCTCATGCTGTAGGACGTCTTTGAGTTGGTTCTTGTTTTTTTCAGCTTCCTGTTGGTGAGAAAGCAGTTTCGCCGTTGGTCCAGCTTCAGTTATATCTCCTCGCCAAAGGGCATCATCGTTCAGGAATCTATGCTCACTGGCATCAACGTTTTCTCTAATTGACCCGAGGAAGCTGAGTTAAACAACCTGGGGTAATGTGGCAGCTTTACAATTAGCATCAATAGAGCTATGAGGAGGCTGGGAAAAGAACAGTAATTAAAAAAAGCTTCCACTTTTATTAAAACAAAGCCCAGGCATTTTTTTCAGGTTTTGATTTTTAAGGCCATGATGAACAGCGGCACCCCAGAAAGTCCTCAACATGGGGGTGCTTACAGTGTCAAGGATCAGAATTTATTCTACAAAGGAAAAGATGAAAAAGAAAAGTCCTCCCCACATAGAAAAGTCACTCAACATTTATATGGACTCACTGGTAAGTCTATGGATATACATTTTGATTTTATGTATACTGTATTATGCTATACACATATAGTATTTTCATTAAAATGTTGGTTTTTTTTTTACAACAAAACATATTTTCACCAGAACAGATAATAGAATATATTTGGCAACATGCTGTTATTTAATTTGTAAATACCTTACCAGTGCTTTGGTCAATTCAAACCTTTTTCTATTAAAATTCCTTATACCTTAATTGGAATTTTCTGTACATTTTTTTCTTTAGAATAAACTTTTAGAAGTGAACTTAATAAATGAAATGGCTTCATTTTCCCCAAGACTTTCACTGTTTGTTTCTTTCAAAGAAGTAACAATTCATGCTGATACAACAGAAACACGGGAAAGATTATTTCTTTTGGCAAATATTAGGTATTTCTGTTCCTTACTTCCTAACAGAACTGCAGGTGAGTAGCACCGCTTGGTAAAGTGAGATTCAATGATTAGCACCTAACTTTACATCCTACAGTAGCTGTCTTATGCTCAGCAATAACCACATCTGCACACACCAGCACATTTCTTTATGCTTATGTATCAATGTGAGAAACATGATGCACAGAAATAATGGTACCATGAAACTTTCAAGCTGGGAAACTTATGTTTCTTCTCTCTTCATCTATGATCCTTCATAAAAAAAACTCAACTATCTGTACTTTTATTAAATGTTGTCCTAAATCATACTAATTTTTTGTATTACATTTTCTGAATGATGTAGTTCAATAAATATTTTAGATAAAAATCTACTGATTTTTTTATTATTTCATTATAAAACCTAGTCTCTTTGTTATTAGCTAGCCTTAAAATTATACAATAAATAAATTTCATATTTTGATTAAAAAGTTATATAGAATATAGTTATGTGTGTAGCTATTTATATTCTTTCTATGTCCATTTATAGCTGTTTATATACCATTTCAATTTTCCCTTGGCTAGAATTGAGAAAGAGCAGAAATAGACAATATACTCATCTCATTAGCTTTAATTGGAACCAGGAATCAGTTCTTCATTCCATTCTTGTCCGTGTGTATGGGCATCTGAGTGTGGGTGTATGTTTGTGTGCAATTTCCTGTGCAGCCCAGTAGAGGGTATCAGATCTGCTGGGGCTGGCTAAAGGCTGTTGTGAGCCATCAGACATGGGCTGGGAACCAGGCTCAAGAGCAGCATACACTTTTAATTGTGAGCCCTCTCTCCTCTTCTGAGAAGAACTTACAAGTAAGTTGCGTATTGGCAGTTTGAAAGAGACTTTTTTCTTCATGGGAAAGGGCTTATTTTCCTTCTGAATTGCTGCTTTAGATAAGAATGAACATTGTGTCCTAAATATATTCACATGCATAAATGACTGTGTGCACCGATGTATTGTGCATATGTGTATGTGTGTGTGTAGTGTGTAAATATAAACTCAGCGTGCGCATATATGCATATGCATGTATACAGGATGCACACTTGGTTTTTAAGACCCACGTTTAGAAAGCTCCTGCTGCGCATCCTCTGGGCTCGCTGTCACTCAGAGGTACTCCCCTCACCTGCAAAGCCCATTTCAGTTGCTCCTGAAGGGCTTTCTTCTCCATCTTCAGCTCTTCTGCTTCTTTCTAGGAAGTAAAAAGAACAACATTCACTCTGGTGCTTTTCAGATTTACTTTCTGTGGTTATGACATGTCTCAAGTTCACCGATTGCCAGTAGGATGGTTTGAACACATCTCACTAGAAAGCTCTCCTATGCAGTGGTGGATACCACCTGACGCTGTATCTTCCTGTTGATTTCTCAAATGCATGCTAACCTCGAATCTGTAGATTACAACTACTGCAGTTGAAACATTTCCCATTTTCTCCAGGTCTGGCATATTTCAATGGAAATGTTTGAAATGTGACTAGACCAAGAATCTCCAGTTTTAAATTATAGTCCAGGTTTAGCAGAAATAAGTACATCACACATTCAGAAAACCTACGGTGGATATTGTTGAGAACTGTATCTAAAGCCCTGTGTGTGCCTCTTGTGTGTCACGTCAAGCTCCTTGAGGACAATCTAGGCGGCATCTAACCACTGTGCACTCTGCACAAAAGAGAATCACCAACACTGATGTGCGAACAAGAGTAAGTGGTCCATGGAGGGAAAGGAGGCCTGGGTAGGATTCATGCCTTCACGGCCTTTGGTATGGGAGTAAGGCCTACTTGAGTTGTATAAGGTACTCCAGGACTTAGAGAAAGCCTCTGTCTTTACAGCTTAAAAACAAGGGCAAAGTTTGGGACAATCCCAACCGTGAAAGACTCAGTGGAAGTCACACGAAGGAGAAAACTGAAGACAAGGGTCCAATAATTTTGCATACAATCTGTCTAACCTCTCAACCACAAACACAAAAAGACTCAAAACAACCTGAAAAAAAAACAAACAAAGAATTAAGACAAGTGTCTGGATAGATATATAATTTCTACTCACACTGAATCATGTTCATCGAAAGGACATAGCAGATCTCAGAGTTTCAACACACATTACTCACAATCAATAGTGGACTCACTATTAAGAGAAACACAATAAATGGCCAAATGGCAGCAATGATAGCATTCACAATTAATCATGGTTTAAAAACTGAATGTGTGGGCAGAACAGCAAGTTGGCTACAACATTGAAAGAGTGAAACCGTGTAGACATACCAATGTAAAAATATGTAAATACAGAGATAAACCTTTAACAAATGTTTGAGGAGCATATAGAGTGATGTCGGATTTCTATCACCCAACTGTATTTTTGTACAGGGACAGAAAGAAGTAGAAATGGGTTTGAACCCTTGGCAAATGTTACATACTCAAGATGGTGTGCATACTCCCACTTAGTGTGATAAGAACAGTCATGGCCCCATGCAACAAAACCAAGCTGTTGAAAACAATGAAACAATGACAATAAGAAAGGAAAACACAAACAAACACAAGGCAGGAAATAGACAATGTGAAGGCTGCCTTTTGACAGAAACACTAACATCAAATGAAAATAAAAGACTGGGGCTGGAGAGATGGCTCAGTGGTTAAGGGCACTGACCGCTCTCCATGAAGACCTGGGTTCAATTCACAGCACCCACATGCCCGACACCCACAGCAAAATACAAATGCACATAAAATAAATAAACTTTAAAAAATAAATAAAAACATCTTAAAAAGAGTAAAACAAATACCTGTAAATCTCCTTTAATAAAGCAATTGCTTTAATAAAAAGTTTGAAATCTGTATTATTATTCTTATTGAAATCTGAGTGGAAATAACATCTACTAAAACAAAACCATGTAGCAATGGAGACACAGAGCAAACAAACCTCCGCCACCAATCAGGGATCGCAAGGAAATGGAGACCAGAAACGTATGGCAACAAGGCCAGAAATCGAGTCAGACTTTTCATGTGACTCAGACACCCTCAGAGGAGACCGGAGCTCCAAAAAGGCAAGTGAGCCTCCAAAGTGGGGTTCTTTGGAGGCAAAACAGAAGTGACAGGCAGAAGATAATTTTATATAACTTAAATATATAAACTCAGAGAGGGTGTATCTTACTTGGATTTGAACCAGATCAAGTTCTCTGCTTGGAGACTTCCTGTAATTAAAAATATTTAAAAAATGTATCAAGATATTTGAAAACACACTACTGCTTTGCTTTCCCTAGGACTTTAGACCATTTAAAATCTTAAAAAAAATACACGCCTTTAACAGAAACACACACACATACACACACACACAGAGAGAGAGAGAGAGAGAGAGAGAGAGAGAGAGAGAGAGAGAGAGAGAGAGAGAGAGAGAGAGAGAGAACTCATGTTCATTTCACAGTGTATGCTTGGGGGTCAACATTTTTTTTTAAAGAAAGTAAGAGTTTCTTTTATTTCTAAAGAGTCAGTTCTTCGCTTTTGCCTTGTGTTTGGGTCAGGGTCTCTTGTTTATACGACCTGCTCCTGTCTCCCATCTCCCCCATGAGAGCGCTGGGATTATAGACATGAGCCATGCAGCTTTTTTGTGGGCCCCAGGAATCAAACTCAGGTTGTTGGGCCTATGTAGCAAGTACTCTTACCTGCTGAACCATCTCCTCAACCCCTCACACATTAAACTAATCATTAAATCCATGAGACTCAAGTAGTAAATAAAGTAATAACTTTCCTGAAGCCAACTTTTCAATGGTACGATCAGAACATGATGTGGCTAAGATTTTGAAAGTGCACTAAACATTTATCTTCCCTGACCATGATTCTTCAAAGGACAAATTTTGTGTCTAATAAGTTTCTTTCCAGAAACTAACACTCTCTGCAAACACTGAATTCATTAAAAAACTTTATTGCAAATAAGGCATACCAAGAAAATTTAAATTACAATCACCAATTTATAATACTTACATTCACTTAGAAGAACCATGTTACAATAATCCACTCATAAAAATAGGTAATTTTTTTTTATGAAACTGAACATAATTAAAACCTGCCGCGGAAGAGAACAAGTTCCAAGAAAGGAACCGATCACACATCTCCACGCCTCACCTTTCTGAATCTTTCTCTTTTTTCTTTTCTGGCCTTGTGGATCTCTTGGTTCGATCTTCTTTACCTGATGGCTTTGCTTTCTGCACAGTTTTGAACAAGTCAAAATTAAAATAGTGTGAGTTATGGGAAGTGCATTGGAGTATATGCTGCTGAGCTTTCCCCTTCACCCTGAGTGAAACCATCTGAACAGAAACAGAGCAAAGTTAATGATATACCTACTGTTCGTGTTTGTACTTAACAGAGAGATAAGGCGGGACTATTTGCGCATGCCCACACGTGTGCAGGTCAAGGGTCCTCTACTGCTCTCTAGCTTCGCTTTTGAGATGCAGTCTCTCATTGAGCATGGGGTTCACCATTTCAGCTCTACTGACTGGACAGTAAGCTCCTGGAATCTGGCCATTTCTATGCCCCAGTGCTGGGGCTACAGATACACACCACTGCGTCCAGTCTTTGACGTGGGTGCTGGGGATCCACATTCAGCTTATCATGCCTGCGCAGTAAGCTCACTATCGATCCCAGTATCCTTTGGATCCATACATTTGAGTTTTCCAGTTCTGCTATGGTGTGGCCTATGGCTCCTGAAAGTCACCTCATCTGCCATACTTGCAGTAGAGCCAATGGAGAAATGTTAGGAGGACATCATACAAAAAGACCATTAGTGATACATTTAAAAACTAAGGTAAATGACTCAGAATACACAAGTTTATTGAGAAGATGCAGTCCCATGTCCTGAATGTTTAGAAGTTGAACCTGAAGGGAAACAGGGTTATCTGAAACTGCAAAGAAACATGAAAAAAAAAACAGAAAAAAAAAGAAAAAAGAAAAACCAGGCATAGTATATGTGAGACTTTGTATCTTTATTTTTTTATTTTCTTTATTTTTATTTATTTATTTATTAAAGATTTCTGTCTCTTCCCCACCGCCGCCTCCCCTTTCCCTCCCCCTCCCCCAATCAAGTCCCCCTCCCTCGTCAGCCCAGACTTTGTATCTTTAGAATCGTTGAGCTGGCAAAGCTGCCTTCAACTGGTGTTTAGTCTGATGAAATGACACACACGCAGAAGTGAAATTCAAATTATACTAAATTGTGCAACATACTTGGTACAAATTTGTGTCTTAAAACCATCAGTATATCATAGCTGAACATGTGTTAAAGCATTTCCGAGACAGGATCTAAGTTTTCTAGACTGGACATGGGCCCATGATCCTCCTGCTTCAGCTTTCAAATGAAAAAATTGCAAGTAAACATCAGCATGCCTGGGCAAAATATTCTTTTTTTTTAAATATTTATTTATTATGTATACAATATTCTGTCTGTGTGTATGCCTGCTGGCCAGAAGAGGACACCAGACCTCATTGCAGATGGTTGTGAGCCACCATGTGGTTGCTGGGAATTGAACTCAGGACCTTTGGAAGAGCAGGCAATGCTCTTAACCTCTGAGCCATCTCTCCAGCCCCTGGGCAAAATATTCTTGAACTACTCTGAAGGACCAGACTACTTTATATATGGGTGTAGAGAAAGAATTTTTATCAAGTATTAAAATTATATATAATAAAGACAAATGAAAGCAGCATATGGTTATATTAAAAATTCAAATGTATACAAATATACTATCATGGTAAACTTATCAGAAGATAAACATAGGTGAAATAATTCTTCATAAATCAAAAGTTACAGCCAGGAAGTAGTGGTATACACCTTTAATTTCATTATTCAATATCAGAGGCAGGCAGATCTCTGTGAGTTCGAGTCCAGCTAGGGTTACACAGAGAAACCTTGCCTCAAAAAATTCTGACTCTCAATCACTAACAAATTTATGAAGTTAAATATTTTCCATAGAAATGTCCTTCGTGAAATTGAAGAGGATATCAGAAAGAAAGAACTCCCACATTCACCGATTGGTAGAATTAACATAGTAAAAGTGGCCATCCTACCAAAAGCGGTCTACAGATACAACACAATTCCCTTCAAAATTCCAACACAATTCTTTACAGACGTAGAAAGAACAATACTTGACTTCACATGGAAAAACAAAAAACCCAAGATAGCTAAAACTATCAGGTATCATCATCCTTGATTGAAAGCTGTACTACAGAGCTATAGTAATAAAAACTGTATGATATTGGCATAAAAACAGACACATTGATTAATGGAATTGGATTGAATTCCCAGACTAAACCCACACACCTGTGGACACTTGATTTTTGATAAAGAAGCCAGAAATACATAATAGAAAAAAATAATCTTCAACAAACAGTACTGATCTAACTGGATGTCTGTGTATAGAAGAATGCAAATAGAATCATATTTAACATGCTGCACAACGCTCAAGTCCAAGTAGATCAAAGACCTCAACATACAACCAGATACACTGAACCTGGTAGAAAAGAGAGTAGGGAATATCCTTGAACACACTGGAACAGCAGACAACTTCCTAAACAACACTTATAGTACAGGCACTAAGATCAACAATTAGTAAATAGGAACTCATGAAACTGAAAAGTTTTTGCAAGGCAATGGACACTGCCAATAGGATGAAATGACAGCCCACAAAATGGGAGACATTTCACCAACTCCACATTTGAGAGAGGACTAATAATCCAGACTTTATAAACAACTGAAGAAACTAGATATCGACAAACCAAAAAATCCACTTAAATATGGGATATAGAACTAAACAGAATTCTCAGTAGAAGACTCTCAGATGGCCGAGAACCACTTAAAGAAATGTTCAACAACCTTAGCCACCAGTGAAATGCAAATCAAAACTATTAAGAGATTTCATCTTACACCTGTCAGAATGGCTAAGATGAGTAACAGAAGCAAGAGCTCATCCTGGAGAAGATGTAGATCAAGGGGAACACTCGTCCACTGCTGGCAGGAGTGTAAACTCATCCAGCTACTACACAAGTCAATATGGTGGTTCCTCAGAAAATTGGAAATCTAGGTACCTCGAGATCCAGCTATACCACTCTTGGGTATGTACCCAAAAGATACTCCATCCTACCACAAGGACACTCATTCAGTTATGCTTACAATAGCTTTTTTCATCATAACCAGAATCTGGAAACAACCTAGATGTACTTCAACTAAAGAATGGAAAAAGAAAATGTAGTACATTTACACAGCGGAGTATTACTCAGCCGTTCAATGAAACGACATCATGAAATTTGCAGGCAAATGGATGCAACTAAAAAGAAAATAATCTGGAACAAGGCAACCCAGACCCAGAAAGACAAACATGAGATGTACACACTCATAAGTGGATATTAACTGTTAAATAAAAGATAATCATGCTACAATCCACAGACTCAGAGAGGCCAAGAAACAAGGAGGCCTCTAGCAGGAAGACGTGCATCTCCCTGGTAAGTGGAAATAGAATAGACTTTTGTGAGCAGACTGGGAGTGAGTGGGGATTGGAACAGGAGGGATCAGGTGGGAGAAGAAAGGACTGAAGGAGGGAATATGATGAGAGACGGGAATAGGAGGATATTTAGGGGACAACGTGGAAACTAAGGGCAGTGGAAATTTCCTGCAAACAATGAGGGTGATCCTAATGAAGGGTCCTAGTAATGGAGGGTATTGAGCCCGATCAGTCATCTGTAACCAGGCAAGGCTTCCAGTGTTGGGACTAGAACACCAATGCAGTCACAAAACTTATGACCTACAACCTGCCTGAAAGATATGCTGGGACAATGGTGGCTCAGAGCTTGCAGGAGTGACCAATCAGTGATTGGTTTAATTTGGGAGCCCATGCCAGACACTGCCTGGATGACCAGGAACTAGAAGCAGGATAGCCCAGATTCCTAGGGTAGAACCAAAAAATGTCAATGAAATGATTCCTAATGATATTCTGCTATACACATAGGTAGGTGCCTAGCTAGCCCAATTGTCATCAGAGAGGCTTCTTCCTGTAGCTGACAGGGGCAGATGCAGAGTCCCACAGCCTAACATTAGGCAGAACTCAGGGAAACCCACAGAAGAGGGATAGGAAGGATTATCGGAGCTTAAGGGGTCAAGGACACTATGAGAAACAGCTCACAGAATCGTGAAGTAGGTGATCACAAAGACTGAAGCAGCAATCTTGGAGCTGCATGAGTCTGCACTAGGTCCTCTAAATATATACTATGGTTGTTCTTGTAGTTTGGGGTGCTTGTGGGGGGGTTCTGACTCTGTTTGCATGTTCTCTGGACCTTTTCCTCCCACTAGGCTGCCTCATCCAACCTTGAGATGAGGACTTATGCCTAGTCTTATTGCATCTTGTTATGCTATGCTTGGTTGATATCCCTGGGAGGCCTGCTGTTTTCTAGAGGGAAATGGAGGGGCACTGGATTTGGGGGAGAGAAAAGGCAGTGGTGGGAAGTGAAGGGGGGGAGAGGGAAAGGAGGCAGCAGTGGGGATGTATTGTATTAGAGAAGAATATTTAAAAAGAAAAAAATGGTTAAAATGAAAAAAATGTCTTTCACAATAACTGAGCTGTTTCTGTTTTCGTAGCATCCTTATGGATTTGATAGCTAATACTGAAATTTAGAGTATTAATTTGGGTTTTTAAATCAGCTTCTAAAAATTATGACTATTAGAAACACGTCATAAAACAAGTAAATGTCACTTTGAGTCCCATTTCTATGGGACCAGGTCTTCTTGGGTATGGCATTTTTATCACTTGTGTGCACCAACCTCTGACTCTCTCATCCTCTGTATTTCACTCTCCAGTAGGGTTTTCTCCAATAATAACATCTGAAAATCAGTTTCCATCTGTTTATATTTCTAAAGATAAATGAAATAGATCTAATTAAAATTAAGCATCTCAGTAAGATTTATTTCAATACCTAGTTATTAATGTAATCCTAACTTTACTGAAGCAAGAAAGAAAAGGAGCCACTAGCACTAATTTTTAAGTTGCCATTGTGACTGATCTGCCTAGAGAAATAGAAGACTCCAGGTTAGTGTTTCAGGAGTGCTTCTGAGTGGCAATGGTGAATAACAAGTAAAAAGAGGATGCAATGCCTTCTAGTTCAGAGCTCAGAGAAGCTGGGGGAAGGGAGCAAGCGCTAACCTCTAATTACAACAGAAAATGGTTGTTTGTGGAGTCTCTTCAAAAATCAAGAACAAAGTACAATATTAAATTAAAAATGTTATACTTACAGTCTCAACTATATTCTGATTATTTAAAGCTCTGAAAAACAAAAGTAACTATGCTATAATAAATACGTACAAATGTTTTAGTTATGAAGCACAGTAGATTTTTAACAGACTCCCTTGTCTTTTCTCACAACCTCTTCTCGTGCTGTAGCCAACATCTAGACTCCTGCCAGGATCTTCCCTTCACGCATCCACACACACGACCCTTTGGGCGGCCGTCACCACACCACACCCCAAAATCCCACATCCTCTTTCTGAGTCAGCCTGATGAGTATCTTCCCCACCCCACCGGACCTCGCGTGGATCCCAGCGCTCTGGCCTAGTCTGGCCAGCCTTGGAACTACGGAACTGAGAGGAAACCTGTACAAGTAGAACAGATCAAGTGGAAGACAGAATATCAGGTCAGGTTTCAGAGACAAAATAGAGGATCTTGACCAAACAAAAGAGGAACCTGAAAAATTAAACAAAAATAAAATAAAATATAGGAAATGAACACGCAGGAAATGTTGGACACTATGGAAAAAAACTGCCTCTAAAATATAGTTATACATGAGGGGGAAAGAATTCCACATCAATGACATAGAAACCAAAGTCACAGAAAACTCCCCTCAACTCAAGAATGTCTCACCCATACAGATATAAGAAGCACACAGAACACCAAACAGACAAGGCCAGAAAAGAAAATCCCCATGGCATATCATAGCTAAACACTAATTATATTCTGAAAATACTTACTGTGGCATGTTGTATAATCCAAGGAAATTGTTTAGAAAAACGTATCACCTAATGTCAAACTAACCCATGTTGAGAACTGGTGATTGTATCAGAACTATCTCATAGAAACTAAGATGACTCACTCAGCCAGTACATTTCTGCACCCTGACCCTGGGAGTGTGATTTTCTTCTCAAAAGCCCCCTCGCATCATACAATGCAAAATGTTTGTACGCACACGTGCACATAAACACACAACCATGGCTAGTAATTTACACTCAAAAATATTTTTTATTTACTTTGTCCCCCTGTTTTTACCTTTTCCTAGTTTGGAAATATTTAATCAGAACAGAAATGTGTGCACTATATAATACCTAGGAAGGGAAATCCAACATTCATACTCGAGTGGAGAGACTTACAGTATCAGAAACTTCTGTGAGGGTCTTCCCATAAGCTTATTCTTCCCAGAACTTGATCGTCCTGATTTATACTTATTGCTAGTGTTTCTACTTATATACAGTGTAGGTTAGCGTCATGTGATTACTGAAATCTGCGTCATTGTGTTTAAAACTCCAAGGCTACAGAAAAGCAGCCAGGAGCTACAATGAACTTTTCCACACTTCACTTAAATTCCTACATTTTAGTGTTTTGATATGTTTCCTTTGTGTCTTAATCTCCATGTATTATATATGACATGTATGTACATGTACATATGTGCGTATATATTTGCTGAACCATTAAAATAAACTCTAGTTTTAAAAAACCACTAAGGATAACATAACAAAAGCTACAAGAGAAAAATCGCAAATCATATATCTATCAGGAAAACTATCAGAATGACAACTGATTTCTCGATGGAAACTTTGAAAACATGGACAGCCTGGAGCAATGTATTTCATGTACTAAAAGACTCTGATAGCCAAACTAAAATAATACATCCAGCCAAAATATATGATATGACTAAAGGATAAATAAAAATTTTCAGGAGATAAGCAACCTACAATAATTATAAACAACCCAACAATCCTAAGGAAAATACAGGAAACATTATTTTGGGCTGAAGAAAAGAGTGAATACAGCATATGACAAGAAGAACAAAGCCATAATTACTAAAACGGCTACGAACACATCAAAAAATTCTCATAACCCCTGGCAATTAAGGGAATGCAAATAAACAACTTTGATATTTTATTTTACCTGAGTCAGAATGACAAAGATCAATGGAACAACAGACCACAAATGCTGGAGGGGATGCCAAGGGCATGGGCAACCCTTATTCACTGTTTGTATAACTGCAAACTAGTGCAGCCCCCATGGAAATCGGTGTGACCCAGCTACACCACCCCTTGGCCTGTGGTCAAAGGATGCTATGTCATATTTCACAGATACTTGCTCAGCCCTGTTCATTGCTTCTCTACTCACAATAGCTAGGAGATATTAAAAACTTTAGTGTCCTACACCTGATGAATGGTATATACAGGAGAAGGTGGGGTGGGGTAAAGGGGAATATAGGATACAAGGGATCTGATCGTGGAAATGGGAAAAGGGAGTTCCTTAGGGAGGAAGAAGGAAGTAAATACAGAAGAACATGGGAGGAAGGTAAAGGGTGAATGGTCAGATATAGTTGATCTGATAGGGAAAAGCAATAAGATCAGGCTCCTTATGGAAGAGGGAGGCAGGCGAATATAGGGGATAAATGTAGTTATGTAAGATAACAATACTGATGTTGAAAAGAGCCACAAGGAAACACACTATTAACTGCTTACCTTAAAAACCGTAGTGCAATGCACAAAACTCAAGTCCAAGTGGATTAAAGACCTCAATATCAGTCTGAACACACTGAACCTGATAGGAGAGAAAGTGGGAACTACACTACAACAAGTGGGCACAGGAGACCGCTTCCTACGTATAACATCAGCAGCACAGACAGTAAGGGCCACATTGAATAAATGGGACCTCATGAGACTGAGAAGCTTCTGTAAAGCAAAGGACACTCTCGCTAAGACAGAAAGGCAACCCACTGACTGGGAGAAGATCTTCACCAACCCCGCAAATGACAAAGGTCTGATCTCCAAAATATATAAAGAACTCAAGAAACTAGACTGTAAAAGGCTAATCAACCCAATTATAAAATGAGGCACTGAGCTGAACAGAGATCTCTCAACAGAAGAAGTTCAAATGGCCAAAAGACACCTAAGGTCATGCTCAACTTCCTTAGCGATCAGGGAAATGCAAATCAAGACAACTTTAAGATACCATCTTACACCTGTCAGAATGGCTAAAATCAAAAACACCAATGATAGCATATGCTGGAGAGGTTGTGGAGAAAGGGGTACACTTATCCATTGCTGGTGGGAATGCAAACTTGTACAACCACTCTGGAAAGCAGTGTGGCAGTTTCTCAGAAAATTTGGGATCAACCTACCCATGGACCCAGCAATACCACTCTTGGGAATATACCCAAGAGAGGCCTTATCATGCAACAAAAATATATGCTCTACTATGTTCATAGCAGCATTGTTTGTAATAGCCAGAACCTGGAAACAACCTAGATGCCCCTCAATTGAAGAATGGATGAAGAAAGTATGGAATATATACATATTAGAGTACTACTCAGCAGTAAAAAACAAGGACTTCTTGAAGTTTGCAGGCAAATGGATGGAAATAGAAAACACTATCCTGAGTGAGGTAAGCCAGACCCAAAAAGAGGAACATGGGATGTTCTCACTCATATTTGGTTTCTAGCCATAAATAAAGGACATTGAGCCTACAATTCGGGTTCTTAGAGAAGCTAAATAAGAAGGAGAACCCAAAGAAAAACATATAGGCATCCTCCTGAATATTAACCTTCATCAGGCGATGAAAGGAGACAGAGACCCACATTGGAGCACCGGACTGAAATCTCAAGGTCCAAATCAGGAGCAGAAGGAGAGCGAACATGAGCAAGGAACTCAGGACCGCGAGGGGTGCACCCACACACTGAGACAATGGAGATGCTCTATCGGGAACTCACCAAGGCCAGCTGACCTGGGTCTGAAAAAGCCTGGGTTAAAACCGGTCTCACTGAACATAGCGGACAATGAGGACTACTAAGACATCAAGAACAATGGCAATGGGTCTTTGATCCTACTGCATGTAGTGGCTTTGTGGGAGCCTAGGCAGTTTGGATGCTCACCTTACGAGACCTGGACGGAGGAGGGTTTTCCTCGGACTTCCCACGGGACGGAGAGCCCTGATTGCTCTTTGGGCTGACGAGGGAGGGGGAATGGATTGGGGGAGGGGGAGGGAAAGGGGAGGCGGAGGTGGGGAAGAGACTGAAATATTTAATAAATAAATAAAGAAAGAAAGAAAAAAACCGTAGTGCATATAACACAGTGTATAAATATACATATGTCATTTCCATAAACTTTTCTCATGGGGCAGATGGCACTTCCTCCAAGAGTCAAAGACCATCTAACAATTAACCCCAATACCAGACATGAGAAGACTTATTTTGGAGTTGTTGGCCAGGACTAAGGGACTCCCCAAGCATATAACCTACTCTTGTTGCCCTTGTTGCTTCTCAGAGAAACAATGTAAGTTTCCGTTGCTGAGGATACCATGTACTTTAGAAACAAGGCTCAGAGTCCCCTGAGATGGGACTGACCTGAATAACCGCTCCCTGAGGACTACCTTTCATGGTAACAAAAGGTACCGTGTGTTTACAAAGGTGAGAAGCAACCAACAATTCCACCCAGTTATGATGTCCAATAACCACATTAATGACCAGCATAGCATGATGAAGTGGTCACATAGGTATCTAGTTGGTTACCAATGGTTTTCTAACTGGACTTAAGACCCACTCAGGATGAGAGAAACCATGCCTGGTACTGGAAAACTAACTAAATACTCAGTGCTAAGTGAGGCAGTGGTGGCGCACGACTTTAACCCCAGCACTTGGGAGGCAGAGGCAGGCTGATCTCTGTGAGTTCAAGGCCAACCTGGCCTACAAGAGCTAGTTCCAGGACAGGCTCCAAAGCCACAGAAAAACAAAACAACAACAAAAATACTCAGTTCTAGTGAAATCATGGTTATTGGAAGAGATTTACAATCACTAACTTACTAACCCAGCATTATCCCTAACAACAAGCTATAAACATTTGTATTTATACCACAGATAAGTGTACTCTTCACCCGTCATCAAGGAAATTTCTCTTTGCAACCAACAGAGACTATGACAGAAAACCACAGCCAATCAAAATGCAGAGTTGTGGAGCTCCTGTCTCAAAGGCTTCATGTACAAAGCACTCTAAAAGTTAAGACTCAGGGACCATTTGGGAAGAAGATGTGGAAAGATCGTAAGAACCAGAGGGTCAGGGAGTTTTCTGTGAGATCATACTTCTCAATAACATCAGAAGCTACACCTGTGAAGTCTCACCAACAGGACAGCCAGAACATGAAGTGAACAAGGAGGACACCAATGAGCAGGTCAAACTGGTGGGGGAAAAGCCACGAAGCTCTGTATGTATTAAAGAGTAATTGCTGCTTACTCTGCTCCTCATTCCTTGACAATCATTATTTCACACGCTATAAATGTGACCACCCTAGGTAGCTCCTGTAGGGGAACCATATGCTTTTTGTCTCTTTGTGGCTGGCTTGTTTGATTCAGCATAATGTGCCCATGTTTTAGTCACATGTGACACCTGTCCATACTTCTTTAAAGACCAATGATCCATTGTGACACATTTTGTTTTTCCAGTCACCCATTGTTGGAAATTTTTGTTTGGATGCTATTAACAGTGCTGAAGCAAAAACATGTATATGTGTCTCTTCAAGACCTCAGTGGCATTTTTTAGTGTATTCCCAGGAATGGAATTGTTAGATAATGTTTCAGCATATTGTTTTTTTCCATAGCATATTTTTATAACCTGTGTGTTTGTAATTTGAAATATAAAATTATACACATGCATAATTAAAACTATATGCATGCATGTATACATATATATACACATATATAGATACATACATACATTTAAGAGGCAGCTTTCAATGAAGACCTTATTTCTTATCTATGCTCCCAATGCTTCTATTCTATGAACTCAATTTTATAAGGAAAAAATAAATATTCTCAAAACTTACCTCTCTAACATATTTGCCTGATTTTCAAATATTTTCATCATCACGTTCATCCGTTTAGTCACTGAATAAGGAGCTCCTATTACAAAAAACATAAAGGTGTTGTAGTGGCTGAAGTTATACGATCAACCAATTCAGTGATACAGATGGGAAACTAAACCAGCATAATGAGGTGACATGATAACTTCCAGCTGCATTTACCTTATTTCAGCCTACACTTCATCTCTGGCTTCCAAAGGGAAATAGTTATATTACAGGACATACTCAGAGGCAAAACACACAAACACAACCTGAAGATAAGCAATTATGAGCACAGAATTCAGATACAGTGGGCATTTTTAAGTTATAGGGCAAGAATTTCAAACAACTAATTAGCAGTATTTATTACCTAGGGAAAAATTGGCAACATACAAGAGCAGATGGCAATATAAGCAGAAACTCTAATAAGTACAAAGAAGTCTTCAAGTTCTACAACAATGAAACAAAGAATGCCTTGTGACTGATTCGGGCAGTAAATAAAAACAAACAACAGGAAAATCTCTGCTACTCTTCTAGGAGCACTTGCATGTGCCAATCACACCAATGTTGTTGTGGGATTTCCCTCTGTATGCTGTGAATATGTTTCATTACTAGTGGTTAATAAAGCATCTGCTTTGGCCTTTGGCAGGGCAGAATACAGCAAGGTGGGAAATCCAATCAGAGATAGAGGAGGAAAGAAGGCAGAGTCAAAGAGATACCATGTAGCTGCCAAAGGAGAAAGACACCAAAACCTTACTGGTAAGCCACAGCCTCGCGGTGCTACATAGACTAATAGAAATGGGTTAATTTAAGATGTAAGAGCTAGCTAGGGATATGTCTGAGCCATTGGCCAAACAGTGTTATAATTAATATAGTTTTTTGTGATTATTCGGGTCTGGGTGGCCAAAAAACAAACAACAACAACAAAAAAACAGTCTCCACTTACAATGTGCTTTAATCTGTGAGGGCTCCTTTAATCATGATAATAACCAAGTAATATTCTACTGTTGTCTAATAAATATGTCTAACCTATATGGCTACTGTCAGGAAAAATGTGATTAAATACTTGGAATACTTTGGAAAACAATCTTCACATTTTTAGATAATTATTAAGGGTATTTTGCAAACCACTAGAGCAACTCTCTTGAAAAGTCAGCGAGCACAGATGGTGACTGCACAGAGAGAACCAAGAGGTGAATGACCAGCCCCTCAGTTGGATCATCAGTCTCCAGGCCCTGGGCCCTTCCCCCACTATCACTAGCTGACCATCAGGCAAGCCTCTTACAGGCAGGCTGCTCCAACATATGCCAAGTGGGTGGACCCTGTAATCCACAAGGTCCACTCTGCCACCAACTACACCCATTCCCTGTGTCTCAGTGCCTCACTAAGACGTAGACGTAGACTACAACTGCACAGACCTGACCAAGAGGTGAGTGACCAGTTCTTCAGCTGCACAACCCAGTCTCTAGGCCCTAGAACCCAGGGAAAAACCCTGAGTCCCTCTCCCCGCACCTCAGCTGTACAAGCTGGTTAGCAGGAAAGCCTCCTGTAGGTTGGCTGCTCCACAACCCCACATCGGATCTGTAATCTTTAAAGTCCCACACTCCCTTCCCCATCTCCACAACCTCAACATCTAACTGAGGCACAGATTGTGACAGCCATAGAGCTGACCAAGAGATGAGAGATTAGCCTCCCACCTGGACAGCCCAGTCTATAGGCTGTAGGCCCCAGAGCAAAACAACAGGCTTCTTCCCCACCCACCTCAGCTTCAGTGACTAAGTCAGCAGGCAAGCTTCCATCACCCCTCATCCTCTGCATCCTGTAATCTACAAGTCCTACATACCACCAAACCCACCCATCCCCCTGAGAAGCGACTCACTGAGACACAGAGACTGCAATGATCAGTCCAAGAGAGGATCCCTGAGACACAGACAGCAACTGCAAGGATTGGACCAAGAGGCAAAGACGCTGCTTGTACCAATTGGAGGAAGAGATGAGCAGGCGCCAATGCAAAAACACATTTAACAAACTAAAGAGCAATATGGCAATGCCTGAATCCAGTGGTCCTACAACAGGAAGACCTGAACATCCAAACCCAGAAGAAGCTGAAGAAAATGACCTTAAATATAACTTTATGAAGATGATAGAGACCCTTAAAGAGGAAACGAAAAACCTCCTTAAAGAAATGGAGAAAAGGCCAAGTCAAAAAAAAAAAAAATGGAAGAAATCAATAAATCTCTTAAAGAAAGCCAAGAAAACAATCAAACAGGTGAAGCAAATGATTCAAACAGTTCAAGGCTTGAAAATTAAAATAGAGGCAATAAAGAAAACACAAACAGAAGGAATTCCGGAAATGGAAAAGCTAGGTAAATAAACAGGAACTACAGATGCAAGCATAACTAACAGAATATAAGAGATGGAAGAGAGAATCTTGGGAGTTAAAGATATGATAGAGGAAATAGATTCATCTGTCAAAGAAAATGTGAAATCCAACAAGTTCTTAATACAAAACATTCAGGAAATCTAGGACAATATGAAAAGACAAACCTAAGAATAATAGGGTAGAAGAAGGAGAAGAACTCCAGCTCAAAGGCACCGAAAATATATCAACAAAATCATACAAGAAAACTTTCCCAACCTGCAGAAGGTTATGTCTCTGAAGGTAAAAGAAGCTTACAGAACACCAAATAAACTGGACCAAAAAAAGTCCCCTTGTCACATATTAATCAAACCACTAACCATACAGAACAAAGAAAGACTATTAAGAGCTGCAAAAGAAAAAGGCCAAGTAACATATAAAGGCAGATCTATCAGAATTATACCCAACTTCTCAATGAAAACGCTGAAAGTCAGAAGGTTCTGAGCAGATGTACTGCAGACACTACAAGATCACAGATGCAAGCCCCAATTATTATACCCAGCATAGCTTTCAATCAGCATAGATGGAGAAAACAAGATATTCTATGACAAAAGCATATTTAAACAATACCTGTCCACAAATCCAGCCTTAAAGAAAGTCCTAGAAGGAAAACTTCGATTAAAGGAAGCTAGTACACTCACAAAAACACAGGCAACAGATAAGCTCACACCAGCAAACCTCAGAGAAGGGAAACACACAAACACTACTACTGAAAAATATAGGAATAAACAATCACTGGTCATTAATATCTCTTAATATCAATGGACTCAATCCACCTATAAAAAGACATAGGCTAATAGAATTGATATGAAAACGGTATCCATCCTTCTGCTGCATACAAGAAATACACCTCAAAGGGGTGGAAATTTTTCCAATCAAATGGACCTAAGAAACCTATCCTAATAACTAACAAAATCAACTTCAAACTAAAATCAATCAAAAGATATGGAGAAGGACACTTTAAACTCATACCAGGAAAAACTCATCAAGATGAAGACTCAATTCTTAACATCTATGCCCCAAGTACAAGAGCACACACATTTGTAATAGAAACATTACTAAAGCTTAAAAAATATATCAAACTCCACACACTAAGAGTAAGAGACTTCAACACCCCACTCTTGACAGTGAACAGGTCTACCAGAAAGAAACTTAACAGAAATAAGAGAACTAACAGATGTCATGACTCAAACAGACTTAACAGACATCTATTGAACATTTTTACCAAACACAAAAGAATATACCTTCTTCTCAGCACCTCATGGAACCTTCTCTGAAATTGACCACATACTCAATAACAAAGCAAACTTCAACAGAAACAAAAAAATTGGAGTAACCCACTGTGTCTTATTGAATCATCATGGCTTGAAGTTAGAATTTAACAACAACACTAATTGCAGGAAGCCTACAAACTCATGAAAAATGAACAACGCTCAACTGAATCACCCCCGAGTCAAAGAAGAAATAAGAAAGCAATTAAAGACTTCCTAGAATTCAACACAAATGAATACACAACATATCCAAACCTATGGGACACTATGAAAGCAGTGCTAAGGGGGAAGTTCATAGCACTAAGTGCCTGCATAAAAAAAATTGGAGAAAAATCTCACTAGTGATTTAACAGCACACCTAAAAGCTCTAGAACAAAAAGTAGCAGACTCATCCAGGAGGAGCAAATGAAAGGAAATAATCAAATTGAGGGCTGAAATCAATAAAATAGAAACAAAGAAAACAAAGGATCTATGAAACAAAGAGCTGGTTCTTTGAAAAAATCAACAAGATAGACAAACCCTTATCCAAACTAAACAAAAAGGTAGAAATAGAATATCCAAATTTAAAAAATCATAAATGAAAAGGGGGACATAACAACAGAAACTGAGGAAATCCAGAGAATCATTAGGTCATACTTCAAAAACCTGTACTCTACAAAATTGGAAAATCTAAAAGAAATGATCATTTCTCTGGTTATGTACCACATATCAAAATTAAATCAAGACCAGATAAACAATTTAAATAGACCTATAACCTCTAAGGAAATAGAAGTAGTCATTAAAAGTCTTCCAACCAAAAATAGCACAGGGCCATATGGTTTCAGCTTAGAATTCTACCAGAATTAGCTCAAAGAAGAGCTAATACCTATACTCTTCCAATTGTTCCACACAATAGAAACAGAAGGAACATTGCCAAGCTCTTTTTACAAGGATACACTTACCCTGATACCCAAACCACAGAAGGACACAACTAAGAAAGAGAATTATAGCTCGACCTCCCTCATGAACATTGATGCAAAAATACTCAACATAATACTGGCAAATCAAATCCAAGAACACATCAAGGCTTCATACCATGTAATCCATCATAAAAATAAACTGAAAGCCGGGCGGTGGTGGTGCATGCCTTTAATCCCAGCACTCGGGAGGCAGAGACAGGCGGATCTCTGTGAGTTTGAGACCAGCCTGGTCTACAAGAGCTAGTTCCAGGACAGGCTCCAAAGCCACAGAGAAACCCTGTCTTGAAAAACCAAAATAAATAAATAAACTGAAAGAAAAAAACTATATGATCATCTCATTAGATGCTGAAAAAGCATTCGACAATATCCAACACCTATTCATGATAAAGGTCTTGGAGAGATCAGGGACGCAAGGAACATATCTAAACATAATAATAGCATTATACAGCAATCTGACAACCAACAATAAATTAAATGGAGAGAAACTCAAAGTGATTCCACTAAAATTAGGAACAGGACAAGGCTGTTCACTCTCTCCATATCTGTGCAATATAGTGCTTGAAGTTTTGACTAGAGCAATAAGGCAACAAAAGGAGATCAAGAGATACAAATTGGAAAAGAAGAAGTCATATTTTTGCTGTTTGCAGATAATATGATAGTATACATAACTGACTCCCAAAATTCTACCAGGGAACTCCTACAGTTGATAAACACCTTCAGTAATGTGGCTGGATATAAGATCAACTCAAAAAAATCAGTAGCCCCCTATATACAAATGATGAAAGGGCTGAGAAAGAAATCAGAGAAATGTCACCATTTATTTTATTTTTTTTAAATATAATTTTTTATTGAAAAAAAAAGATTTCCGCCTCCTCCCCGCCTCCCATTTCCCTCCCCGTCTCCCTTTTCCCCCCTCCTCCCTCTCCTCTCCCCCTCCCCCCCACTCCTTTCCCCCTCCCTCTCCAGTCTGAAGGGCAGTCAGGGTTCCCTGCCCTGTGGAAAGTCCAAAGTCCTCCCCGCTCCATCTTGGTCTAGGAAGGTGGACATCCAAACTGGCTAGGCTCCCACAAAGCCAGAACATGAAGTAGGATCAAAACCCAGTGGCATTGTCCTTGGCTTCTCAGCAGCCCTCATTGTCCGCCATATTCAGAGAGTCCGGTTTTATCCCATGGTTTTTCAGTCGTAGTCCAGCTGGCCTTGGTGAGCTCACAATAGATCAGCCCCACTGTCTCCGTGGGTGGGTGCACCCCTCGTGGTCCTGACTTCTTTGCTCATATTTTCCCTCCTTCTGCTCCTCCTTGGGATATTGGGAGCTCAGTCCAGTGCTCCAGTGTGGGTCTCTGTCTCTATCTCCATCCATCTCCAGATGAAGAGAAAAGTGAGAAGGGGAGGTTGGGGGGAACTTGGGAAACGGGATGAATGGGATAAAGGAAGGTCGGATAGGGGAGCAGGGAAGCACACATCTTAATTAAGGGAGCCATCTTAGGGTTGGCAAGAGATTTGGTGCTCCCAGGTGCCCAGGGCGATGTCCCCAGTTAGTTCCTGGGGCAGCTGAGGACAGAGAACCTGAAATGACCCTATCCTATAGCCATACTGATTAATATCTTGCATAAATGTCACCATTTATAATAGCCACAAATGACATAAAATATGTTGGGGTAACACTAACCAAAGAAGTAAAAGATCTGCACAGCAACAACTTTAAGTCTTTGAAGAAAGAAATTGAAGAAGATATCAGAGAATGGAAAGATCCTCCATGCTCTTGGATAAGTAGGATCAACATAGCAAAATGGCAATCTTACCAAAAGCAATCTACAGATTCAATGCAATCCCCATCAAAATTCCAACACAATTCTCCACACATAAGCACACACACACACACACACACACACACACACGAGAACCCTAAACAGTCTTTAATGCTAAAATTCTCCACAGGTGCCCGTGAAGGTGCTTGTGTATCGTATATGAAGACTCCTACGCTGGTCACTTTTGCACAGACAACAGAAAGAGCTTCAAGGATTCTGAGCTGCTGTTTGAGGCCAACCTGGGATACATCAGACCCTTCCTTCCTTAAACAAACAAACAAACAAAACCTGATGAAATCTTGAAAGCAGCAAGAATACAGAGGTTTCTTACTATGATAGTATGAATGAGAATGTTCCCCCACAGGCTCATGCACAAAAACGCTTGGTCCCAGTGGGTGAGGATAACTGGGAAGCCTATGCAATCTTTTGGAGATGTCAGCATGATGGTGCTCAGATGAACGGCCACTTACCTGGCTCAGTTTCAGAAGCAACTTGAGATTCGTAAGCTGAGTGAGAGTTTATGAATCCTGAAAGAGATATATGTATCTGCCATTATTCATTTCATATAGCCATCCTATGCATCCATTGGGTTGACAGTCTACATGTTTAATTTTAATGATTTGCCCAAGGGGAAGACGGAACAACTCCATGGGAACAACAGCAAAATCATAATAACATTCATCTTTTAAGAATATTTATTTTTACTTTATGTGTTCGAGTGTTTTGCCTGATAATGTGTATCTGCATCATATGTGTACAATGCGTGCAGACACCAGAAGAGACAAGCAAATTCCCTGGAACTGGAGTTACAGAAAGGTGTGAGCTGCTACGTGGGTGTCAATCAAACTTGGTTTCTCTGCAAGAGCAGCCAGTGCTCTTAATGAGCCATCTTTTCAACTTGGCATTAATTCTTTACGTTTCCAAAATCCAAACTGTAATAAAAGTTGTATTGAAATAGAAAACTCCCTACTGAACAGTGTATTCCGTTTGCCATTGTGTAATTTTTTAATTGCAAAAATTAAGCTTCAAGTATCAAAGTGCTAATATAGTTAGGAAACTGAATAAATTTTAAGCATTCATAAATATTACCTTCGATTTGCTTCTCTATAGCTTCGTAACTTCTCATTGAACCTGGTAGCATGTCTTTTTCCCTGCCAAGAGTACCAATAAATAAAACTTGTTATACACATCAAGAGTTGTTACACCGCCCAAGGAACTATATTTAACAGATTAGACATATGATGTCAAGCTAACCTATCATTTATCCTTCATTCATAGTTACTAAGATAAATAAATTATAAAGCCATCCTATGCTATAATGGCCAAATTCTGTGAATTGCGCATTCCAGGATATAGTTATATACACCAGTAACATTTAGAACTAAAGTAACAAAACTCAATCTGTAGAAACTGGAGCTCTCTTTTTGCTAATTCTCACTTGGTGCCATGCTAAGAGCACAAGGCTGAGAGTGAGACAATCTTCTCCAAACCTCTATGTGGCCTGGAGCCATTTGCTCTGCCTCTCTCCTTAGATTCTTTATCTGTTCAAACTTAAATATGCTAATTCCTTTCTCATAAAGTAGTTATGAGGCTTCCAGGAGAAACTAGAAAAGCACCTTGTGCACAGAAGACATTTAAAGGTCAAACATAAACACATTCAGAAGCATTCCTGACAGCAAACAGCTCAGGAATGTACAGAAGCCTCCTTACAATACCAGGGTAATAACAGGTCACACAGAAAGCACATGGAGAGACCGCATATGGAGTATTGGTCTCTTCCAACTATGAGAAGTTTTTCTTTTAGCAATATGAACCAGCTTTGTATATACTTAAAAACCAGTGGGTGAAAGTACAATTCTAAACCTGGTTTTATAATTAAAAAAAAAAGTTGGGTTTGCTACTAGGACTCACTCAATCAAATTCAGACATGTGAGACCCAGAAACACAATGTTCGATCTCACCTGTAATTTCTGGCTCCAAATACTCAGATGTGAGCATATGACATGGAGTCATGACTAAGAGTAGCAAAGTATAAAGGGACGATAGGCATGGGGGAGGGGCATGAGAAGGGATAGCAGTGTATGGGTGATATGAAATGGGAAATAAAAAAAAAGCATGGAGGGGTTCAACTAGAGAGGAGGGCTGGGGGGTCAATACAGAAAGAGAAAGACAGAGGGGGAAAAAATAACACCAAGATTGCTGGATAAAGCCTCAAGAAACCTCATTGCTTTATATTTACTTAAATTATACACAATACATATTAGTGTCTATCTACCTATCTATGTATCTCATAGATACAGGTGCCTATCTACATATATATATGTATATATATGTCTATTTGTTGGTATGTCTGTTTATTTACGTATCATCTATCTATCTATCTATCTATCTATCTATCTATCTATCTATCTATCTATCATCTATCTTCTTACCTACCTACCAATCTATCTAACACCAAGGAAGTTACACCAGTTGGATGACAATGATCCCCACAAAACCCCAAAACTAATAGAGACACCAGTACCAGGAGTGAGAAACTGTCTACTGAATGGTTGATCAGGGTATCTTGAGTGGCTCCTAAAATAATATAGACTATCTATAAACCTTGGTTGCTTCTTAGGAGTTGAGGGTAGAACCCTGAAGAAACTGTATACTTTGGACATGCAGTCAGATGATTTGAGCTATATCTGACCTGACGGCTTCCTTCCTGAAGTCTAGCTTCTACAGTGCCAAAAGATACTTTGCAGGCTGCCAAACAAGGGAAGAAATTAAATAGTCTGGCCCAGTTGAACTGTGATGATGAAAAATGTGGCAAGATCTCCATATGGTGCAATAGTGGCATTCCCATGTTGTTGGGAACCAGCCGCTGTCTAACTTGACATAAGGCCCACTCAACAGGAAGGAAATCATGTCTAGTATTGGAAACATAGCTAGTGAAATCATGGACCTCAAAAAAGAATCTACCATCACCAACTTGCTAAGCCTGCATAATACCTAACTATACTCTAAGTCTTATCCTTAATTTCATAGTTAAGTATAACTACACTTCTCATCAAATAGGCCTCTCTTTATAGGAAATGCAGGCCGTCCTAGAAATACTCAAGTGGACAGAATACACAGGCCAACAAAGCATGGGGAACCTAGCCCCAACAGATATTTCTACATCATAGCACCTGCATTGACTTTTCAGAGAACATTTCAGAAAAGGGGATGGAAAGGTTGTAGAGAGCCAAAAGGCCAGGAAGTCTGGTGTGAAACAGTCTCTCCTAGAAATGCCCATGCAAACAAGACAAGAGAACACTGGCAGTATTGATGAACATGCAAGTGTGGAAGGTGAAAGTGTTTGCAGGGTCCCACCCCTAGACAAAGAATTACAGTTTTTGACTGCTGGGAAAGGAATAAGCCTGTCTCAGAGATGATCCCTCTTTATGCGCTGTCCAATGCAAAATGGTCAGGTCTGAAACCATCATACACAAGCAACAAACTCGGCAGGTTGTAATTATGTATTTGTGCATACCTATAATGCATATATACATAAGTGTATGCAATGATAATAAAGAAAAGGGGTCATCAATTTGAGGGATCATGGAAGGGCACCTGGGAAGGGCTGGAGGGAGGAAAGGGGGGTATGATGTGATTCTATTTCAACTAGAATATATTTTAAAAGCAGTCAGAAACATGTTTACAATCCAGATGTCTTAAAGAGACTACTACCCAAAAGAAGTTTTAAATAATAGTTATACATGGCTGTTGAGTAGTTAAAGCATGTTTTGTATGACCCAGAAACCTATACTAAATCAAATTTGAATAGCCACATGTGACTAATGTCTACTGCACCGAATAACACCATCTCAGACTATTAAAATTTCAAGTCAGATGCCGGGCGGTGGTGGCACACATTTTTAATCCCAGCACTTGGGAGGCAGAGGCAGGTGGATCTCTATGAGTTCGAGGCTAGCCTGGTCTACAAGAGCTAGTTCCAGGACAAGCACCAAAATTGCACAGAGAAACCCTGTCTCGAAAACAAAAACAAAACAAAATAAAACCCTTCAAAATCAGAAAATGTAACTAAACATTCATATATCATTTAGAAGGTTTTTTCTTTTTTTAAATTTATTAAAGATTTCTGTCTCTTCCCTACCTCCGCCTCCCCTTTCCCTCCCCCTCCCTAGAAGGTTTTTTTTAAAGCAGGAACATTGAGTTAGTCTACATCCAATGCTAATTACTGACTTTAATTCAATTAATCCTTATATTTCACTTACGCGTGTATAGACAGCAGGGATCCCTTGCGCCCTTTCAAGCGAGTTTTCAGATCTTCAAGTCTATGTACCAGTCTTACTATTTGTGAGATGTTCAAGTTCAGCGTTTTTTCATTTGGTGGGAGATCTCCTTCGAAAACGCTTTGGTCTTTACCTATCTGAAGTAACAAAATCGGCCAGTTACTAAAGGCCCGCTTGATCTCATACTTCAAAAGCATTTCGTTATTTCCTTCATCAATCTGAATAACTTGCATTTAATCTCAGCGTTGGCCATATCCAAACACTGGTAGAGTAGCTACAAATGCAACGAAGGGCCCTTCACCATCAGTAGAACTACAACTCACTCAGAATATATATATATATATATATCTCCAATAACAAATGCAACTCAAGAATATTTAAAAGAACAATTTAAAAGAATATTTAAAATACACCTATTTTTCTAAGAATACTCTGCTGTAATAAATTATAGACAATGATAAAGCCATGACCCTCCACTACCAAATCCCAGATGTCACTGTGCTTTCATTTTGCATGGGAAAACATGTAGAAACCTTTGGATGTCTCAAGCTTGCGGGAATAAAAACAAAGAGACGTTTCTGAGAGATGATGACATTTTCTGTCTTCACCCTTTAATTTTATATCCCAAATAACCAGCCCCCATCTCTCTTTAGAAGAGTGTTGAACTAGAGAGGATGATAAGCATAGAGAACGGGTGCAGAAAAATTCTGAACAATCCCTGAAGCTACCTGGGAAGTAATTCTTTCATGCTAGGGGAATACACATAATCTCTTCCAAAAGAGAATTAAAAGTCCTTGAAGACAGAGACCAGTGCTCTCAATCTAGTGGTTAAAGTATTTGAAAATCTAAAATGCAAAGGATATCATTTTAAAACATTTAAAAAGTCAACATGTGTATATTATGCATAATTTTTTAAGCAGAGGAGAGGAGTTGATAAATTCCTATCACTTTTATGTAAATCAAAAAGGAAAAGAGAGTGAAATTTTCATTGCTCTTTAGGAGAAAGAATGATCCAATAAATCCTGTTCTGTTCTGTCATATGCAAATTACCAATAAACATCTTCACTAGCAATTATTTTTCAACATAAATTAAAATATTACTTTAGAATTAATGGTCATTGAAATATTTGATGTATATGTTACTTTAGACAGATTTTCCAATGGCTCAAATACTTACTAATGTAACCAATAGTTAAGAAGTTTTATATTTTACCTCCTCTATTTGGTTGACTTGTTGCTGAAACCACTTCATAAAAAAAGGAATAAAAAGGAGAGAGTTAATACATGTGTCTATGAGCCTGAATCTGCCAAGCACCATTGTTAACACTCACACACACACATCATACAGGGTTCAGAATGGGGTTAGAGCAACATACAAATGCAAATAGAGACTTAGAAATATCTAGCAGCAACCATGGAAGCTTGCAACTGCAAAACCTAGATCATCTTTGCTCCTATGCATTCTTTGTAGTTTAAGCTGTAATGAATTGAAACACATACCTTGAAAAGAGACTCCAAAATCTGGAAAACAAAGTTTTTGTTAGTATATTTAAAGATAAAGTAAGTATCATGCAACTCTTAAAATCTTAAATTATAAATTTGCTAAAATAACTACAAATCTACAGTTTCAAAGCTATAATAATTTTGTAGATATGGTGTGTAGTCAATTGCATACATAACTATTACTTCTATTACTCCATAGAATTTTGGAGTCAATTATTCACATCTAATATTTTGTTTGTGAAATAGAGTATCCAGAAGAGAGTCATATCTGTGTTATATGTTCTACAAGGGTGATTAACTTATTTTAACACAAATGGTTATGGAGATGTGCAACTTCAGAGGGAAATCACCTTGGGCTATCTTAGTTCCTAATAGCCCTTTATTGTCTACCTCTGTGTATGACCTAGTACTCTTGTGACTTCTAGACCAATTAGTTTCCAGTGTACAGACAGATCCACAAGTTCCCTCAGCTCAATGGCTAGGAATGCATGAGCCGGCAACCGAGTCCCGCAGCAAGGATTTCCCCACTGTTGCACAACCTGCCTACCTAATGTTCCTAGAAAAGTATTTGAAAAAAAAAGCTTGATTTATAATTGTTTTTGTTCTCATAATTTATGCCAAGACAGTTTATTTTTTGAGGAGATTGTTAATATTGCTTCCCTGTTTTCTTTCTCTGTTTGCTTGTCATTTGTCAACAGGAAGGCTACTGAGTTTTGTGCCTAAATTTTGTGTCCACTTATTTTACTGAATGTATTTATGAGTAGAGTTTTTTGTTTGGTGGAATTATTAGGGCCTTTTATATAGAGAATCATATCATCTGCAAATAAGGAGATTTTGACTTCTTCCTTTCCACCCTAAGTGACTGAATCAGGTAATTAGTGTGGCCAGCAATCAGCTGCTGACTTTAAGTGACAACTTTTTGTTGTTGTTGTTTTGAGACAGGGTTTCTCTGTGTAACAGCCCTAGCTGTTCTGGAATTAGCTCTTGTAGACCAGGCTGGTCTCGAACTCACAGAGATCCACCTGCCTCTGTCTCCCGAGTGCTGGGATTAAAGGTGCATGCCACCACCACTCAGCACACGACTACTTTTCATGCTGAAGTCTGAGGTGAACTAAATTGTGATTAATGGAGCTGGAGTGTAAAGCAAGTATATTAAATGCTTCCTGATGAGAGGATTGCATGCTTGTCTTGATTACTGTTAAAACTGCTGTGGCAAAACATAATGGCAAAGGTTACTTATAAAAGAAAGTGTTAAGAGTCCATGACGATGGAGCAAAGGCGCCGTGGCAGGAACAGGCTGGAGCTCACACCTTGATCTGAAGTATCAGGCAGAGAAAGCACACTGGGGATGGCCTGAGCTTTTAAAGTTTCAAAGCCACCCCTGTGACAAACTTCCTCCAACAAGGCCATACCTCCCAAACAGTTCCACCAACTGGGGACCAGTTTTTCAAATATGATCTATGCAGGCTACTCTCTCTCATTCAAACGCCCACATTCTACCCTATGGCTACCCTAAAGATGTGTGGCCATATCATAATGCAAAATATACTGAGTTCAACTTCAAAAGGCTCTGTCATTTTTCAGTCTCCACACTGTTTCAAAGTCCAATGTTCAGAATCTGTTGTCAGTCTCAAGTCAGTCATTTAACTGTTAAAATCAAGATGCACAAGACATACTTTCAACACCCAATGGCACAGAACATACATTACTATTACAAAAAGGAAGGAACCCAGTCACTGGACCCAAGCAAGGCAGACACATAGCTGGGCCAAGTCCAAATCCTGTAGCTGAGCTCTGTGTTTGCGCTCCAGCATTCTACCTCTGCTTCATGCAAGATACATCTTCTCTCTTGGGCTGTTCCACCACCCCAATACAGTCCCCTTGGCCAATATCCTAGGGCTACGGCACCTCTAACATCTTGATGGAGGGGTTGTGCCCCAACACAACCCAGGCTTCCTTGTCATAGCTTCACACAGGGCCTCTCAGGGCCTTTTGCCCTCTCAAGGCCTTCAGGCAGGAAAGTTTGCACCTCAGGCCTTTCTTCAATGTCCATATCACTTTTAGTAGAGACTTTGGTTCCAGAATTAAATTTTATGGAGCATCTTTTCTCTTGAAACTGTACATTTGTATTGATTTCTGCTCTTTTTCATTGTAGACCTGCATAAGAATGATTATTAGTAACTATGGGGCAAAGTCATTTATAGGGTGCCTTGAAATCTCTCTCACCAAAGAAAAAAATTTAATTACTTTTATTTTTTTTTAATTTTAGGAAACATAATTTTTGAAAATTTTATTTATATATTTCTTAAATTTCATTTTACATTCCAAGTACAGTTTACCCTCCCACCCCTCGTTCTGTCTCCCCTCACCTCTTCCAGCCCACCCACGCCCCATCTATTCCTCCCAATGGGTAAGGGCTCCCATGTGATATGGGAAGTCCTTCTGTATTTATTGGTTAATGAATAAATAAGCTGCTGCAGCCCCTTTGGATATCAGTATGGCAATTTCTCAGAAAATTAGGAAACAATCTTCCTCAAGACCCAGCAATACCACTTTTTGGGTATCTATCCAAAGATGATCAATCGCACCACAGGAACATGTGCTCAACTATATCATAGCAGCATTGTTTGTCATAACCAGAACCCGCAAACAACCTAAATGCCCCTTGACTGAGTACACAATGAAGCACTACACAGCAGAAAAAGATAACGGCATCTTGAAATTTGCTGGCAAATGGATGGAGCTAGAAAACATCATATTGAGTGAGGTAACCCAGACCCAAAAAGACAATGATCATATGTACTCAATCATAAGTGGGTTTTAAACATAAAGCAAAGAAAACCAGCCTACAAATAACAATCCCAGAGAGCCTAGACAACATTGAGGACCCTAAAGAGACACACATGAATCTAATCTACATGGGAAGTAGAAATAGAAAAGATCTCTGGAGTAAACTGAGAGCATGGGGACCACGGGAGAGGGCAGAAGGGGAGGGGTGAGACAAGGAGGGGAGCAGAGAAAAAATTAGAGCTCAATAAAATCAATAAAAAAAGAAAGCTGGGCGCTCATATATTGACCCAAAAGCAGGAGGCAGGGAAAGCACACTGGACATGGTGGGGCCTTTTGAAGCCCCAAAGTTTACCCCATGACACACTTTCTCTAACAAGGCTACACAACTTCCCAAACAGTTCCACTCACTGGGAACCAAGTATTCAACCACGGTCTATATGAACAACTTTCATTCAAAACACCACAATGTTTAAAGCAGAATTTTCAAACATGACCTTCAGAAGGTCATGATCTAGGCAAGCACAGTGACTGTAAACACTGTGTGTTTCAACAGCAATGCTTGCAGAGCCAGAGAGATATAGGGCACCACCTGAAGCAAATGTGCCGTCAATGGAGGGATTTAATACAAATGTTGGCTTTAAGACAACCAACATTTCATTCTTGTCTAGTAATGTGACATGGTTCAGTCACCTTTCTTGGCTTCTACAAACTACTAAAAGAATACAATGTGGGAGTTTTTTGATATATTTATGAACTATTTGTGTTTTTTCATCTTTGAAATACCTTTGTATGTCAGTGACCTATCTTTCACTTTTTGATCCATATTCATAATAATCATGATAGTCTCTTGTCACCTGGACATAATCCAAATGCTTTGCTTGTATGACTTTTTCCTGTCCTTTTCTCTTTGTGGATTTTTTTTTAATATAAGAGATTCAGGGTCTAATTTTAATATTGTTGAGTTTATCAGTCTTTCCTACCATGACTTGCATTTCCTTCTAATTATGATTTATATTTTGATGAACCTGGAGCTTAGTGATGGTTTAAACTGGCTGATCAGCAAGCTCCATGGATCCATCCATCTTTATCCCTCATGCCAGTATAAGGGTTACAGACGTACATCAGCCAGCTTTTATGTGGATGCTGGGGTCTATCTCAGGTTCTCATGCTTGGACATCAGGCAGGCGCTTTACCAATGGAGCTGTCTCTCTACCCTTTGGGTTCTCTACTGTTTTACATGTCTATAAGTCCACCTTCATCTAATAAAATATTGTTTGGAGAAAGATTTTGAAATATTCTTCTCTGAAATGAGAACTGAATGTAAAAATAGTGCTAGAACATTTAAAAGGGGAAATATTTAATTGGAAAACACAAACAAAAAGTATTAAGAACATTTGTACAAGATAAAGTAACGTGCAAAAAATAAGCACAACGTGGAAGAATCAACTATCAAAATAAAATAGTCGTAAGGAATTATAAACAGACAGATGGAGAGGGAGGAAAGGGAAGATAGAAAAACAGCAAAGACAAATGGTGTCAATTACACATTACAAATCAAGTTGGACATACATATATAGAATAGTAAGGAATATAAAGTACACGATATTATATATTATTAACTATATAATGTATATAGAACAAAAACTAAATATTGACCCTCACCTATACATACTGAGTCTATTTTTCAAGCAACACAAGAAAACATCATAAAATAATCAGCTTTAGCCTGCCCCAGTGTCTTGCAAATGTAATCATGATCATGGTGTGTTTTAAAACATCATTTCACTTAAGATTTAAAACAATATTTTTATTTTCAGTAGGTGTTTTGTCTGCAAGTTCACTCATATAAATTACATGTGTGCCTTGTACCTGCAGAGGCCAGAACCCGTGGGTGTTGGGTCTCCTGGAACTAGAGTTACACAGGGTTGTGAGCCACCAGGTAGTATTAGGAACCAAATACGGGTAATTCGCAAGAGCAACAAGTGTTCTTCACCACTGAGATGTCTACCTAGCCACATATTATTTCATTTTTGAAATATAATATATATATGAAATAAAGATAATATATAAGGAGAAATAATAATATACAAAGAAAATCAGGAAGTCAGGCAAAGTTGTGCTAATAGTATTTTTTTTTCATGGTATTCTTTACATACTGGGAAAGAATCCCCATGGTGATACTTGGTTTTCGTTCTTTTCAAACCTGTCTTTGGTTTGAAATTAACATTAATTAGAACATGATTTTGATAATGCAAACTTATTTTTTAAATGAGAATAAAATATAGAGATCACATTTGAAAGCACATATGACCATATTGCTACTTTAAAGAGAAATGCATAGATATACACGGCCTACATTGAGAATAAATAAATATAAAAAAGATTCTCTAATGACCCTCATCATCCTCTAAAAGATTGATTCCAGACTAATATGGCTGACTGTAAATCTCATCCCAGTTTCTACCACCAAAGCAAGTTCCCATAGTTTACACTGGACATTGACTTGGAATACATACGTTACGTTCTTCCTTAACTGCTTCCTCCATCTGAGCTGCAAACTGTGAACAGTACTGCAAGAATGCATTCATATCATCACCAACCTTCCAAAAAGAACCACAAAACGGGGTTACTGTCAGTTTTAGAAACCACTTGTATACCCACTTGCTTCTTAATGTGTTTTGAAAGTATTTTAATTTTGTGCAATTTCCATCCTTTCAAACATGGGTGGCAAAAATCTATGTTTCAAATGTTAGCCCAGAAAACCCTCCTAGAAATAAAACATGAAAGAAAGTACATCCTAGGGAGTGATGAAACACAACACGCTCTTGTTTTTCTGTTGGCTTAGTAGCTGCACCTGAATCTACTGATGATTTCACTACCATCTGAGGGCAGCAGCCCCATTCACACCCCTACTCATAGCAGTCAGTACTGGCTGCTTAGACCGTGGTCTCGTGGGATTTCTGGTCCCATTGGCTCCAGCTAACACCTGCTAGGCTGCAGTTGAGGCTGCCAAACCTAGGTTTTAACTAAGTTTTTATTGTTCTATTTACCAAAAAAAGGCATGGGAGTCAGATCTTGGGGTGAAAACCTGCTAGATCAGAGAAGCCAAGAACCAACTAGCTGACTTTCCTCCTTAGCTGGAGACCCAACAAGAGAAGTGTCTCTCCATTCATCCCAATCAAAAAGATTGTGAATCTCTAAGGCCCTCCCTACTCCTTCCTGTGCCCCCCCCCTTTTCCTGGGTTCTCTGTACTTTCGATGGCTAATTCTTGTCAACTAGTCATTGACTCCACCTTCTGATCCAAGGTAAATTTCATTAACATAGTTTCACAATGCGATCAAATATCCCACAACAACATCAAGGAAGCTTCGTTTTGTAGCCGATAGGAGACCACCATAGAAACTCACAACTGTCCAGAATGCAAAAACAATTGACCATGGGGTGCTCATCCCCAGTAAATACATCCACAGCACAGCCCACGCGGAATAACAATAGATAAATAACAATTAAAAAATGCAGGTGCAAACATATGGTTGAGTCAAACAAATGTGACCGGCAAGACAGCTCCACAGTAAAGAGTTCCCGGTGCTCTTGCAAAAGAGCAGAATTCAGGGCTCACAAAGCCCTGCCACTTTTCTCGACTCCAGAGAGGCACTGCCACTGCATGTGCTCATTCACACATACAGATAGGCACACGTGCACGTAAATACAATTTAAAAGAGATCTTAAAAAGTTAAAACAAGCAAAAAAACTAAACCAAAACAAAAACAACCCACTGAAATGAGAACCATGCTGTTACGTTAATAGCCACATTATAACAGTATGTACAACAAAGATATTTTCTAGGTCTCAAAAACTTTGTTTTTTTTTTCCACTTTAAAAACTAGCAAAGACGGTATTTTTAATTTCATTTTATTATTTATCTGCTGATGTGGGAGTGATTTCTCACTAATAAACTGCCTAGGCCCATTTGATAGGCCAACCCTTAGGTAGGCGGAGAAAGCAGAACAGGATGCTGGGAGAAAGAAGCTGAATCAGGAGTCGCCATGATTCTCCCGCTCCAGACAGACGCAGGTTAAGATCCTCCCTGGTAAGCCAGCTCGTGGGCTACACAGAATATTAGAAATGGGTTAGAACAATATGTAAGAGCTAGCCAATAAGAAGCTGGAACTAGCGGGCCAGGCAGTGTTTAATAGAATACAGTTTCCGTGTAATTATTTCGGGCATAACCTAGCCATGCGGGCGGCCAGGTGCCGGGGACGCAGCCTTGCCGCTCCTATCTCAACAATCTGTGAGAAGAGGGAGTTGAGAGTGATTCATGTTTGCCTGCCACAGTAAACCTGTGGAGGTCAGAGTACAACCTGCAAGAGTTGCCCCCCCCCCCTCAGCCATATAGGTCTCAAGGATTAAACTCAAGTTCGTCAGGCTTGGTGGTAGGCACCTTTAGTCACTGCCCCATTTGGCTGGTGCAATAATACTGTCTTATATTCAACTCAAGCAAAGTAACCAAGCTCATATTTAAAACTCACCACAGAGGCAAGATTGTAAAAAAGAGGACTACAGACAGTGAAGACAGGAGTTGGCAGAGGCTAGAAACACTAACACTCGTCTATCAAGTGTGCCATCTGGACAGCGTGTGTTTATTCCAAAGGCAAGGGTTACCCCTTTCAACATTGAATTTATTTCCTTAGCTTATGTAACACGTACAGATAAAGATACGCCTTCCTCTTCAGGTTTTGTCAGTGTGTTTTCTCCATCTTCATCCACAGTTCCATATGTATTTTCCAAAGCAGTAACAACCTTAGAGAAATGCAAATCAAGTTGAATTTGTTGTCAAAAATGCTAAAGTCATCACACCATGATTGTAGAGATGTCACTTGATAGCCAGTGGCAGGAGGTCCCACTTTCTACCTTTTGACTCATCACATATCATTAAGACAATGCCTGCTCAACAGTGCTTAATCCTACTCCCTAGCCATGGGGACATCCCAAAACTCTTCCTTCTCTATGTGAAAAAGTAGCAAAAAGAAAAAAAGTTATTCACGTGCCTGTGAATGGCTGAAGAAGGCAGAGTTTTCCTCAAAGTCTGATTATCCTTTGAATATTGCATTTAAAGAAAAAGAAATATAAAGAGCAGAAAGTAATAAACTTTAAAAGACATTCTCCAAGACAACACACTGACTAGGTATCTTGGAAGCATGATGAACTCTAATTTTTACATTGGTGTCTTCCTTGTTCTCATTTAAAAGAGGATTTACAATTTGACTGACAATCATTATGTAAAAAGGAACTTAGAGAAACATTAAGTACTATGATTTCTGAGGTGCAAACAAGAATGACCGCAGCTGGCATGAGATCTCAAAATGCCTATACCGAAAAAGCCCTGCTTGTAAAAAGTGTTAGCCAGTTAGCTAGGAATTTTGCATTTAGGAAGACAGTGTGTTCTATGCTAAACTGCTTTCCTTGAAATTCTGATGCATGCTCGATAGAGAATACTTTAGGGTCTCAACCCTCTGTGTACTGTGTTTCTAATGATATCTTCTGGTCCCCATCTACTTAACTCATCACGATTCATTTCCAGAGGAACTAAGCATGCCTCACATGACTTCAGACAGAGAACACTCATAGCCCTGGCCCTGTTCTTTCTAATCTCCCTCCCACATGCTGAATGTAATAAATCTTACCATTGATATAATGATATACAGAGTCCATCATAACTGATTCTATTCTTACACAACAGCAATCCCCCCACTAGTGACCATTTGGGAATTACCTCAATAGGACACACAACAAATATCTTACCATCTTCAGGTGTTTGGTAATCCTCCTGACCATTTCATCTTCTGCTATTAATTCCTTTGTCTTACTTGATGGTATTGGCAAGGCATAACGTACAACTGATTCTCCTGTGGGTGGAGACCTTAGGACCATTGGTTCGATCTTATCATATTGTGACTTGGCATTATGTTTTTCTTTTGGCTTAGGCGGTGAGTTGAGTAGTCCTTTTTTATAAGGTAATTCTGGAACACTTGTCAATTTCTTATTAATGGTTGATAGGGGCTTTGCCCGTTTCATTTTTGTGGCTGATTTAGCGTCCAAATTACATGTGAAAAATTCAGTACCTCCCTGTGAACAAAACATTAAGATATTCAAAGAAAAAAAATCCTACTCCATTCACTTAATTAACCAAGAAAATTAAGTTATTCTAATGAAATTCATGTACAATGCATGTTTTATCATTATGGTATGGTAGCAGGCTCCTCCAGATGACATTGTTACAGACTGTGGACAGTTCTGGACAGGCTCATGTACTGGGCACTGGTTTCCCTATTGTGTGAGGTACTTTAAGAGGTGTGGCCTAGCTAAAGAGCATTGACAAGCGAATGCTGACTTTGAAGGTTTACACCTGCTCCCCAATTTCCTGTTTTCTGCTTCTCGTGACCAGCCTCATCCTCTACATGTTTTCCCATTGTAAAGCTTTGCTTTTCATAGTCTCAAAAGCATAGAGTCAAGTGGCTATAGAATGAACCTTCTGAATCTGTGGGCCAAGGAAGTAATGTGTCATAGAAATGCAAAAACGACATCTACCAGGCCTCTTCTGGGAGGAGCTGCCATGATATGTTTGGCTACTTTTAATGGCAAGTGAAATAAAACAATGGAAATATTTAAACTCAAGCATGCAACTTAACCATGAAAGAGGCATTATTAAGCTAAAAATGTACCCTTTACACACACCATCCTTTCCATTTTGCATGTGATTAAACTTGAGCTCAGAGAAGCTGGTAACAGGACAACTCAAAAACCTAGGAAGTGTTATAGTTGGAATTTCAATAAAGACCAATTTTTCTGTATATCTTACTTCTTTTCTACCCTACTTGCTCCAAGTGTTACCATTTATTTGTCTTTAAACTTTACAGCATTTTGTATGAGTGAGTGATGAAGTAAGTGAAAAAATTTCAGATTTGAAATTGCAGCAGGATTATCAATGACTCCAGAGAGGGCCAATCTAAAAATCAACTTGGGATTACAAAATAGAGGGGCTAGCCTGACCACAAACCATGAGAAGTTTCTACAAGTGACCCAAATCTGATTTGTGTACGGGAGATCTAGGAAGACAGAAGGCAACAGAGGTAGCAAGACAATGTTCTCAGCAGAACTATAATTCTGCTCTTATTTTCCCTATAAGTCACGTCTCAGTTTTTACCATTCCTCCCAGAGCTACACTGTGGTAAGGAAATATCATCTAGATAGGCCCACAGTTCATTCTCATGCCTCTTTCTTCTCTGAAACCTGTTTAAGACACAGACCATTGTCTGCTCCCAAAGAATGTAAAAACATACCAGATCACGGAGATTGTGGGTAGAGCGGCAAATTGGCTTCGTGGCCTGACACTGCCCATAGGCTAGTGCCCCTGCTGTGGGATGAACTGTCACCCAGAAGACATACCGAAATTTTAGCCTCTACAAACCCTAAATATGACATCATTTGAAAAGAGGGTCTTCAGACATGAAGTTTAGGTGATGTGAACTGGATGAGTGAGGTCACTAAACCTAGTGACTGGTCTCAGGGTAAGAAAGGCATGTAGCAAGAGAGGCATATATCAGCAGGGTAACAGGGGTGTCCCTGAAAACTGAGGCGTGTGGAGGATTGCTACCTGCTACTAGAAGCTTAATAAGCAATAACGTTTCTTCTTGAGACTCTTCTCTTACACACAAGTTGATTTCAATTCTAGTTAGCTTGTGGTTATAGCTGCCCCACGTCTTTGTCTGAGGTGCTACAATGAAATATCATAAACTAAATGACTTACAAACAACACATGTTTGTCACAGTTATGAAGGATGGCAAGTCCAGTGTCATGTCACCAGCAGATCTGGTGTCAGATAAACTCCAAACAACAAACTATTGATCCATCCGTCTGTCTTCTCTTGATGGTTGACCAGCCAGGAACTTCCCCAGACCTCATTTATACAGTCCCTAGTTCCACTCGTGAACACATTGACCTGATGACCCTATCCATCACCTTTCAAAACTACTAGCTCCTCAGACTATCATCACCTTGGAGATCAGGATCTCAACACAACAATTCCAGGAGAGAAGGCAACAAACCTTTAGACCATGAGGAAAGTCCAGCACTGAGTGAGAAATATACACATGCATACATGGATCCACATGCATATTCTCCTTGTATTTCCTGAGAAATACATAGAGATTAGATATTAAGACTTTTGACAGTTTCTTAATAACAAACTATCAGGCAAAGTAGCTATTTCACCCTGAGTGCATATAAGCTAACAAGATAAGACAATTTGACATGAGAAAAACACAATCATCAGAGAAGTAAAACCACAGACAGAAAAATGCATCATGTATGAAGATCATACCAGAGAGATCAAAAAATGCTTAAGACGGAGAAAGAATACAGGCACTAGAAACAGGGGTGCGTGGTGTTTTAGAAGACCCAGACGGAAATAGCACAAGTGAAAATGGAAAGCATAACTGACCACACCGCTGCAGAACGGGTTCGTAGGATGGATGATCAGACCGAGGTGAGAGCACCATTCAAAAGCAAAGCTACGAGCGGCGGCCGGAACCAAACGCGCACGGCAGGCGACGTAGCTGGCGCAGCGGCCACCAGCGGGTACTGACACAGTGGCAGACAACGCAGGCGACAGGGACCAGTGCAACACCAAGAGCAGATCGCCCCAGGACAATTAAATCAAAGAGGTAGGCCTTTGGTTGGCGAGGTCCCTGGCAAACAGGGAACCTGGTTCTTTTCCTGAAGACCCGTCTGAGGGGTGAGAGGGATCTTGGCCCCTGGCAGTAGCCAGGAAACAGAACGAGGG